CGCGAGGAAAATATTGTTGTGAGCGTTAAAATAAAAAGCTTTTAATACAAAGAGAGTGTCAAGATTAAGAAGGATTTTTATTTTTTAGAAAGAAAGAAAGAAAGAAAAAAGTTGTGTGTTTTAGTTAAAGAATTATCTAATAACGGAAACATGTCTACATGCCACATACGATTTAATAAGATTTATAATGCTCGACTCATACGGATTTACTATAAGTAGACATGCATTAAAAACAGCTTCGAACATACAAGAGAACTGAACTTTCGTCTATTTTTCTTTTTGAAATCATTAAAAATAGTACACCAATCTGGGTACATGTGCAATTTAAGTACACTCTCATCCTCACCCATACTCTAATTGACGTGCACAGTATGCTAATTCAATGTGATGCCCTGATTAAATTGCATAGGCGTCCATATTTGCCTGGATAGGTTCTTATTGGTTTGATTATTATAAATCATATACAGCAAAACGACTGTTGAAATTTCTCAAATGATTCGACAGTTTCCAGGATATAAACGGGTGTCCAAAAATTCGCCGTGACCTATATTATAATTAGTAATACATTAGTACCGGCATATGATAATGTTAACGTGTGTGATCCATCTGTATTAGCAACAAAGATCAAGTCAGCCTCAGTTATAAGATGAATTTATTTTTGTAGATGCGATTGCAAAAAATCTTTATTAATATTATATATTTTCGCAATATTGTCGTCTCGATTAATTTGAATTCTTTCTAATAAATAATTCGAAATTGAGTAAAAAATATTCTTTGCGATCATTTAGAAATGAAACCGAAAATCGTAAGTGTTGTCGCCAGCTCTCATGAGTAATGCAGTATTGCGAACAAAAGTGTGACATGGAGAATACATCTTGAATAGTTCCAGCTGTTTTTCAATATTATAATATGTTCTTTAAAGTTTTATTTAATATAATCTGGCTCCTAACAAATATTCAAAAATGATTACTGCCATCTGAAATAATTCTCATTTTGAATTCGATTTTGGTCGGTATAAACTGAATTCTATTGATTAAGTTTTTGACATTGGTAGAAAACTTGATAACTGGAACTGTATCTTGTAAATCTTTTTAATGGATTTACTGAGTGAATTTTACTTTCTATGGCTCCATCGTAAGACATAAAGTCATAATTCGATGTGCTATTGTTCGTAGAATGAAATAACTCACATGCTTCGTTTTACAATGACAAATAATTGAAATTTTATTGTGAATGAAACTATTAGCACAGAAAAACGCTGTATAGTTTTCGCTACAGAACAGGGTATATGTAAACTTCCTCTATCAAGCAGTGTTGGTGCTATAGGATTCCATTGCGTACTGTTGGCATCGAAATAGGTAACGTCAGGTTCTACCGTAATCATAACGAAGGCGATGCTATTTAGCGACATTTCAACATTATGCAATAGAACTTGATAATACTCACGCCGTGAGATAGAGGAAGTCTTTTTCTACAAGCCTACATAAATTTTTGAAACTAATATAAGATATCCTCGTTTTGTTTTCACGGTGGACTTTTGAGACATGGCGTATTATCATTTGTATCGAGATCGTTTCATGAATTTCATATTTATACCCTTTTCATGATAGAGTTTGAAACTCAAACGATAGAAAATGATTCTCAGAATATATCGCGAATTCATTAAGTATAGTCGATTAATTTTTGTTTGCCCATTGCACCAAACTTATCGAGCTCGATGTCATTGAGTACGATTGGAATTTTTCGTTTGATAGCAATACTTACTAAATTAGTTCCGACTACTTAATCGCTTTGATCAGGGTTATCGGGTAGAGAGGAGATGACGGGAGCTTTCCAATTTCAGCAAAGGAGAAATTTCTGCAACATTTTTTACAGTCTCGTGGAAAATTATGATAGAAAAGAAGTTTTAGCAATTTCAGAAGGTTTAGCTAGACTTCTAACAGACATTCATATGAAAACGCTCTCCTTCAAACAAAATATCATAGAAGATCAAATAATTCCAGCATATTCTATTCGATTTTTACCAAAAAGATAAACGAACGGTCTTTTTGAGAAAAAATCTTACATTTTGTATTGAATTTCTTGCTCCTCTCACTCACAAAAACCGATGCGGAAACCTGATCATGATGACCATGTCCATGTCTACTAGCACTTATAAATTGCACAGTAGCAAATATCAATAAGAGATAAACAGAAAGAATAATTCATTGATTGATACTTATACTTTTCTTAAAATATTTGTATATTATTTTACAAGCGACAAAAGTTTTCATCATTTCATACAGTTCTGAAAAAAAGTAACCACGAGCCTTCTGAAGTGGTTCGAATTTTATTGATACTGAGCTGATTTTTTGCGTGCATATGAGTCAGAATTAACTCGGATTGGAAGCACTAGCCTGCACTCCATTGGTTGCTTTACGATGGAGTTATGCATCGAACATAGTCTTCAACTTGTGATGACTATATCACAACCGCTTTGGTACATTTATGGCTACTAGTGTGTCAATGTGAAGAAGAAAACATCCGTATTCATGCACACGCCCACACTTTCTCCGCTACAAATTTGCTCTCGGCATTGTGTGGGAGCGTATGCCTAGCATATTTTTGCCTGTAGCATGTGAGCCGCAAAACCAATTCAGATTGAATTTATAAGCGTTAAACAGCTTTGTAGCTTGCATAAATTCATCCAGTTTTGTGGCTCTACACTTAATTGTTTGTAGAAATTTGGACTGAAAGTTGCCAAAGTGTGAATGCATTACCAAAGAACAAGCTGTGCACGAAAAAAGATATGTATCTTGCTTTTTCTGCTTTTTGGAAATCGTGAATGATCTACAACGAATTTCAGTTCTATTTGTTTGACGACTTTCATCGGCATGAAGTTATTATCCTTGCTTATTTTCTCAGAAACGTAACTAGTGATTATGGCATAGTCATTTTTCATGTTTTTGCTATACTTTATTAATGAATTTATAATTTAAGTATATATTCCATATATAGAACACGCTTTTATAGTTTATATGTAAGTATTGATGACAGCAAAAATGCGAGTGATCCCGCCAACCAAGCAAAACTACCTTCGACATCATGTTTTCCACCAGTTAGAAAATATCCACCGCCGATTAGAAATGCAATTGAGCCTAATAATGATAACAGACTCAATAGTTTCATCATTGTTACTATTGTTGATTTCATTTGTAGTCGAATAAGTTGCCACAGATTATTTACCACGCCAAGAGATGCACCACAACGGTACATCCAGTTCCCAACAAGCGCGCCACAATGACCAAACGTAGGCCAAAATGCTACCGATCCAATTGCGAACAAGAGACCACTTATACTTCCAATTGTATTTCGACAAATCGATACTGCCATATCCATATCAAACGGTTTGGACTCATTAATAAGCGATTCATTGTTATTAGAAGAAATTGATTGAAAGTTGGTGAACAATTGCTGAAATGAACCCAAACCGAATAGAATTGAACCAAATGTGAAAGTCATTACACCCGTCTTGTACAGTGCATCGGTTTTTGAAAAATGAGGATGAAAAAAGATTGAACCGAGAATAAACAAACACGAACCAATTATATAAAGAAAAATGTTAACATGAAATTTCCAGTTCATTTTAATTCGTTATGTTTTACTTTTATTTGCGTAAATACAATGAATGAGATAAGAAAAGTAACACGCAAACATGTTTTTCTTTTTGTTTTGATTATCTTCTACTGAGAATTTAGAAGATAATGATGATGATAATTGCGCATCTATCTTTCGTCACCAAAGTCTCAAAAAGAACATTAAAGTAGAAGGTTAGAAGCTATTTTCTGTTCATATTGCTTTTATAGTGACGATCAGATATCCTACAGGGTTTTGTTAAAAACTTTGCCCTTGTGACTCGGTAAGTCAATCTAACGAATGTCATTATTATGTAGTTTGTGTATCAATAAGTTGTACTTTGAGAAGATATTGAATTGTAAAAAGTACGCTTTGAAGACTCAAACAATTCTATCTAGTATGAGTTGAAAAAATTCGAAAATTTCTCGAATCTCAGTTCAAATGTTCATAACATTTTTACTTTCTTCTTCGATGTGCTTGCATCGAAGAAGGTAATGCCGAAGTGGATACCTTTCGTCAATTCAAAACATGGCCAAATCAAAATACGAACGTTTAATTGTATCATACGACTTTAATCATCTTCACCAAAATAGCTATAATATTCCTTGGCTTATATATGGCTGCTTAGAATATATAAACTTGATGAAAAAATATTTGTATCCGACAGAATCCTTTGATCATTAATAAAACTATTAATATTGCTATGTGTGTAAGCACCGAAAATTGCCACAAAATATATAGAATAAGACTTCAAGGAACATACTATCATAATATTGAAAATACAATATAAATCACTGAAATCGATTAAAGATATTCACATTTTGTTTTCACAACAGACTTTTGAGATATCCTATATTGCTATTTGTTTCGAGATGCCTTTCCGGAATTGATAGTTATGTGCTTTTCCATAATAGAATTTGAAACTCAATAAATAAACAGAAAATTTCAGAATATATTTTGAATTCAAAAAACGTTAATCTATTGATTCTTTTTTACCCGTTTCTTTGAAAAACGATTGATATACATGAAAAATAGACAAACAAAAGTCAATCCGACATTTCATTACTGACAACAAAATCGCCACTCGTATAATCATTTCATTTGTATGTTTCAACAAAGAAATGCATATTGAAAACATTTATTGGATTTTTTTACAACAAATCATTCACGATAAATTATCAAAATCAATTATGCGAGAAAAAAAACAAACAAACAGATATGTATTCATTCATAAAAGTTCATACAAGGAAAATAAAAATCTGTACAAAGCCTAACAGAAACAACAATCAAGAATTACCGTTATACAAATAATACGCGTTACATTCTTTGAACATATTGCGAGATTCATATTGTTTTTTTTCTAAACAAAATATCAGAGAAAAAACTTAATGGAAATTAATCATATTAAGATGATTGCATAAAATCACAAATAAAATACAAATAATCATTGCTATGGACTGTATAAATATAGTAGCTAGACTATAATATGGACAATATGGACACTGATATGAACCACAAACCTAATAAATAAATACAAAGAATAAAATTCAAAAATATTCCTTCTATTAATCTTACTTCACAAATATCTAAAGCAAATAAATTTCTCATTGTATAAACACTTCGATACATATTACCTGGTTCAAACCATTCATAAGCTCGTATTTCATAATAACGTGAAATATTTGCTACCGGTATCCAACGTTTTGCTTGAAATTCAAAACATATTGGATCAAAATCTATGTATTGAAAACCAAAATTAATTTGACCGGGCCAATTTTCTGCTTCACGTAAATTCCGTGTATAACGACCTCGTATCATTGATTTCAAATCTTTTTCTTCAACACGATAACCAGTTGGGATTTGAATTTCAATTACTACTGAACCACTACGTGACGCTTTTAATACTTTAACATTATCTGAACGCCAAGAGAGACAAATATGATAGTCAACTGTTGAAAAGTTACGACCCGACAACATTGGTTGAACTTCAACAGAAAATGGAGCATAAGCCGGACGACGCACTCGAGGATCAAATTCAACATTAACACCAACATGCATCTAATAATAATACTCTTTTAATGAAATTTATTATTCGTTCAAAAAAAAAAAGAAGCCGACCGTATATTTTTTGAATAACTTTTGATAAGAATGACGAAGAGAACTAGGGCATTCATCATTCAAGAGAGAACGTCTGTAGCCATCGCACTTAGTCAAAATTTTATTGGTCAACAATTGAACAAGCAGGGAAGTTCTTAGCGAAGATCGTTAAAACGAGTTTCTGGCATCATTCCTTATTAAGTTTTGACACTCCATATGGCCAATTGGTACGAGAAAATCTTCATTTTTGATATATGTAAAATTTCAACATTGTAGCCGCTTTTGTTCAAGAATTACGAGGATTTTTTTGATACTACTCATTTCAGCAATGTGACCTTGGACGGCTTCAAAACGGCATCAGAGAGTATTGTGATTCATCACGTTGAGTTGAATGTTAATGTTTATTTCCAGTTTCAACGCGATCTCAGCTAGGTTCGGAATTATAAGAAGAATGCTTTCCTCTCTAAAATGTTCAACGTTCTGCGCACATTGTTAACCAGTTTCTACAATTTCGTAGTAACTTTGGACAGAAGTCAGATTTTCAGACATTATTTGGTTTTTTTCGGCAGAAAGTGAAATAGAGATCAGTAGACAATGTCGTTACAAGCTCAATAGTATTGAGGGTCTTTGAGAAGGAGGCGGCCAGCTAGCAGCACATCTATTGTGAGAGGGGTCGAATCTTGGTTGGTTTTGTTTTTCTTCTCCTCTCATATGAGTCCACTGTATAAATATTGTCAAAACTTTGATTCTTATGCTAGATAGAAGAAATTTCTGAAGTTTTAGAAATACTGCAATAGTGGTCCCAGATTGCTCTAAAATTGAAAACAAACATCACCATTCGACTTAGCATGATAAATTATCCCTGTCTGGCGCGCTTTTGAAGCTGTCCAACATCGCTTTTCTGAAATCGTAGAAGACTTTTTCTCTGCCAATTGGGCATACTAAATGTCATAACCTAATGGAAAATGACTTCAGAGACCTGTTTTCAAAATCTTCTCCGAGAACTGACATAATTGGTCAATCTCTGATTAATCAGATTTCGACTTACTTCCATGCACATATGTTTTCTCTCTTAAGTGGTGATAATGTCAGCTCTTGTCGTCATTTCTATCAAAAGTTATTCGAAAAGCAACGACCAACATGCTTTTTTTTTCGAAATGCAGATTGCATACTTGAATAAGTGCATAACCATTGCCAAATCCATCAATATAAACTACACCCCAAACATTTTCTACACTACGAACTTGAGTGTCAATTATGTTATCATCAACAATTACAACTGGATTGTCATCATCATCTGCAAACGATGATGATGCTAAATTAATACGTATATTATATGCAGTTATTTCAAAGCCACGTAATACTGAATAACCAACTATAGCACGTTGTGCTATACAAGAATCATATGTTGCAGACCAACCACCAATAAAATTACGCATGGATTGAAGCCATAGTACTAATTGAAAGCATGAAAATATAATAAAGTCTGTAGGCCCCATAGCAACTATCATACGGTCTACTATTATAGGTGAAAATTACGAGAATATTTGTAACTGTTGAACGCTGTTCGGTTTCTTATAATGGCTACAAGTAAGTCTCGGTGAAACTAAGAAAAATTTAAAAGAAGTTGTACCCATGACGCAATGATGAAGAGTAGCAGACGCTTTAATGACATGTTAATAACTATATTGAAACATATCTCTTCACTATCCTTTTTGAAATCCGAATAGTTAAATCATCAGACAGATTCTAAAATTTTTAAATGTATGTCAAGAAATATTCATTCTTTTTAATTTTCATGATTACAAATTTCAGTGTATATATATATAGTACTAGTTTGCTCAAGTGCTGAAATATTTGGCGTCTTTGTTCTCAATAAATCAATAGTGAAAATTTCTCATTCTAGATTTAAAAGTCTCGTATCTGTCTGATGATTTAGCGGTTTCGGTTTCAAGTGATATTTTATAAATAGAAACGGATTTGCTTGTTTCTCATCTCTAGAACATAGAATCGCAGTTTCGATTCAGGGTGACTTTTGGAATTGACGAACTCTATCGTTTATCTACTCAAAATCCCAAAAAGATAAGTTCTGGAAGCTGCTGTGAGTCAAATGACTTATTTAAAAGCTTGTTACAGGATACATCCCCTCCCGTCGATGAATATCTTTCGTATTATCGTTTTGTTCTTAAATAACATACCAGATTGTTCAGCTTGTTTAACTTTAACTTTATGTGTATATGTCATAACTACAAATGCTGTAGCAGTTACAGCATGAGCTTCAAAATCAGTTGATACTGGTTTAGGTCCATATCGAGGATTAACGTTTGGCCAAGTTTTTGTCATTCCAGGTAAATTTAAATTTGAATAATACACGCCATTCTCATCTAAATTAAATTTAAAAAATTAAGAATACAAACAGACTATTAATACATACTCATTCGTTTAAATAAAGTTAACATCGAAAATGCTGCATCTTTTTCAGCACTATTTGTTAGATGTAATGCATATGTAACAATTGCCATATCAAATGCATCATTTATCAAGCGAAAATGTTTTTCTAACCATTGTTTTCCACGATTAATTGCACCTGTTAAAAATTTTGCTGGTATACCACGTATATCGGTATTTAATTGTAAAGAAATAATAACTTGTGCTGTTAAAGATAAATTTAAAAACTTATAAGTACCACTTATATTTGTTAAACGAGAACCAAATTTGTTTCGATCTTCAATTGTTGTCCATTCAGCCCATGAACCATTTTGTTGTTGGGCACTTAGAAGAAATGCAACGATATCTGAACGAAGATTTGGATCAATATATAAACCTTTTTCTTCCCATTCAGGATAAACAGCATCACTTAATGTCATTAATACCCAGGCTGTAAGCCATACAGATGTTTCATTTGAAAAACCAAATTGACTAAATGAACCTTTACGCCATGGTTGGTCATGATCAGCATCAACATACATAGCCATAAAACGTTGATATTCCATATTTGCATAATTCAATACTGTTAATAATTTGTCTTGACTGAATGCACGACCACCATGACCTGAAGTATGTACATGCATATATACAGTGACACGTAAAAGTCTTTGCCCCTTGCATAAAGTAGTTTTCTGGAAACTTCCAAGTGGATGTTTTGAAAACTATGTAGAAGGTGCAGAGAGGTCTATATGTAGCTATTAAAAGCCACAAATCGCCATAAATATTCTTGTTTTGAGAGAAAATAGCTTGAAAACGAAATCCTGCTTTGTTGAAAGTGGGATACTTTGCGATACTCGAAGAACAGCAATCGATCTTCAGGTCACTATTACTCACATGACAGAAATCATTCTTCGGACTATTAAGAAAAACTATCGACTAGATAAAAAAAAGATACGACATAGTTGAAAACAGGCGCCACAGTGATTAATCTCGAAATATTAACATTCGACGAGAAAATGAGATCGTGGCAAAAGATAGTGACGCAAAACTGTTTTATGACTGACATCGATATGTATCTCTATGGAAGATAATGTGCCAACTTGAACGGATACCTGCTAATTGAAGTTTATATGGGTTTTGAAGAAGGTCTGGGTAAGACTAGAGAAATTTTATATGGATTCGTGTTCATTGCCCTCTGTAGTCGACTCATGGCTGTTTTACTGAATTTTCGATCTAGGTTTAGACATATACCGAAAAATCGAATAACAGTATTTTTACTCATAAGTAAGTCAAATGACTGGTGTAATATTCTGAAAGTTTCAGTCGAAAAGAATATTTCCTTTTTGAAATACTAAACGTTCCAAAAAATGGTCGTTTCCTACACACAAGTCATAAAAATCGAGTTCATTCGAAAAATCATGATCTCAACAAAGAAGCATTCTTTTCGACTGAGACTTTGAGGATATTGTACTAGTCACTCAGTCTATTAATGAATGATGTTTGAGGTTTAAATTTCGTTATTTAGTTTTTCAGTATGCGTCTAAAACTATATAGAAATTTCGGTAAAAACAATCATAAGTTGGCTTCAGAGACTTATCAGTACAAACTCTTTTAAGAATTTTCTAGTCTTCTCGAGACTTTTCTATGAATCCCATGCAATACTGATGCTGGTATGTGGATGCAGAAAGATGTGAGTGTTTAGGAGCTGGTTCAACACAAAGACGAAAATTATAGGCGAACAAAGTTCATTGACAAGAACTTTCATGAATTATTCAGAAAGAAAGTTCATCAATAGTTAAAGAATTCAGTAATCAACGTCAAGCAAAGTCCGAAGAACAGAGAGAATATGACGGTATTACGTAGTTTCAATGTCATGAGTCTATTGGGCTATCATTTATTCAGAAGAATGTAGAGAATCTTTTCAATATTCCAATCATCATAGATCACCTTATTCCGCAGCTGGAGATGGTAATTTTGCGGATGTTCGGAATTCGAACAAAACAATAATCTCAAACAACAGAGTCAAGCGATGAAACAATTTTCCATCAAGGAAGTAGTTGGAGAGACACGGTTAGTCTTTAACTCACTCTAGTTCGATTCACCAATGTCATGTTTAGCAACAGAAATCATCAAATCTCAATGAACTGGATCTTTTTCTATATCATGAATGCTACAAAGTCAACTTGAGTACTCTAAATCATTTTGTAAAAATCACTACAATCGCGATAGTTAGCTTTGATTAATGCATTGGGAAAGAGTAATACATTTTGTTTGTGTATACGATTATTTTTCGTATTCATTTTATCAACACAAAGAAATAGTTCAAACATGGGAGGGGCAAAGACTTTAGCACCTTGCTATATAGTTATATGAAATAAAAAAGAAAAGATCTTCGCCCATTTTAATATTTACCTTGCAACATATATCGAAGATTATATATCATCATAGCAAAATCAAAAATCCCTGAATCACTTGGAGCAGTTGTACGTTGAATTAAATTATCTGTGTTTAACCATTCATCATAGCCTAATAAAAAATAAGGACCAGCTACATCACCGGATATAAATATTTCACATGTAGCTGAACCATGAACATAATCCCAAGTATTTGCTATTGGAAGAATAAAATGTTGAGGAACAGTAATATCATATTCATTTACTTGTCGTGGTAAATTATTAAGTGATAATACGGTTGGAGTATGATAAAAATTACGTACACCTTCATAATTAACTTTGATTACTTCACGAAAAAAATCACGAGATACACCAGTAATACCTTAATGAGACAAACAAGTTTTCTGTCTGAATTAATCATTAATAGTCTATTAATTTATAGGTGAAAAAGGATACAATTAGATTATTTTCTTGTCTAAGAAAAACAGAATATAGAAAACCACTTAGATCTTATAGTGTGGAAAAAATATACATGTAATAGTCAATTAAATGGCATTCCATGCAATATGAATATTGCTAACGTATTCATACGAATAAAGTAAAAACATGAATTTTTATAATTATAATAAAAACTTTCATTGACAATAGAATATATTGTAGATATAAGTGTAAATATTTTCTTATCGTTATTTATTAAAATGAAAGCCTAAATATGAAAATATAAAGCTTACATCTTATCAAGTTAATGATTATAATCTAGTGAAACTATCTAGTTGATCCTTACTCGCAACAATAAGTATTCTTGATAATTATGTTCCAAGACGTATCGATAATTCTTAGAGTTATTTTTTTAAAGAATCTATTTCATTACCTTCAATCATAACTTCAACTTCACCGGCAACAATTGCTACAAATGGAAGATAAAGTCTTCGTACTTCATTTGGATATAATGTAACAAGTACATGATGATCTCCATCTGTTAATTTTGGTGCAAATGATGAAACAACACCATTGCGATCAATATTAACATATCGATAATTATCAGATGCATGTAGAATAATTAATGCTTCAATACGATAGGTTTGAAAATTAAAAACATCAACACGTGCACCAATTTGTTCACCAAGACGAATAATAGGTGGAACTTCAACTTTAATAAAAAATTGTCTTGTGCCTTCATATATATATGGTACATTAACAACACCAAAACCTGTTAAACGACTAACAGCTAATGCAGTTATAACCCATGTAGCTATTGTATTTGGTACAGTTGTACGAAATTGTACACGACCATCTGGATAAGCAAATTGTTGATGCCACATAAAATCAAGTTGTAATTCACGTTCCCAATATGGCCATAAACGAAGATATAATGGAGTAAATTTATATTGACTTACTGTTGTTATATTAATATTACCTAGAAAAAAAAAAAGTTTAATATTAATCGTAAAATTTTCATTAAAATAATCATTTACAATTAACTTCATCGGAACCATCACGACAATCAAGAATACCATTACATTTTAGTTGTGATGGATAACATGAACCATCAGTACATTGAAATAAACCATATCGATTACATGTTGTTGGTATAGCTTTTATATTAACATCAGTAAATATTTGCATGCCTGTTGAATTAAATGTTGAACCAGCATCATAGCCATATGATTGTGATGAAAAAAATACTCGATTTGATGCGATATTTATATCTGAATACCATGTATGTTGAAAACTTGTTGTTGAATAACGATCAAACGAATATAATTCATCATAAATCTAAATGAAATCGGTCATATTTTTTTTCTTGATTGCGAAACACAAGCTAAACAGATGTTGAAGTATATAAGGCAGATATTTGAATCCAAGCACCTCCCCAACGTCTGCTGTTAATATATGAACGAGGGTAAAACAACAAAGACTTGAGCCTTCAAGTCTCATGAAGGCTTTTGAAATTTGAAGAAGTCTTTGAACTATCGCTTTTAGCTTTTGAAAGCAGATTTATTGGTGAAAGAAATAAAAACTTTTGAAATGGTGAAACAATGTAGATATGTATGTATATATACAGATAATACTCAGACCTAGAATATTCTAGAACAGAAAGAACTCGTATAAAAATAACAAGGACATTACACGAGAAACTGATAGTAAGTGTCATCATTCATTGAAGATCTCAAGGAAACAATATAGAAATAATTGAGTTTGATTAAAAGAAAAAATAAAATGAATGAGAGAATCCTACTTATGATAGTTTTAGGATATATTTGATATGATAGATCTATGATCTGTGAGATTATCTTTGTCATCAGAGTATTATTAGACACTAGCGGTGTAGTGCCAAATAGCTAGAGAGTAGAAGCTGTCAGTTTGTTCCCACATACTAATCCAATGGGCTCTACTAAAGAGGGTCGAGTTTCCCAAATGAACAATATTCCTTCCATTGAAGAAAAACTCGAACTCCTTAATAGAAATTTTCCGCTACTAGCTACCATCCTGCTGGAAAATTTCGAGTTACATCACTATAAAAGATATGTTGAAGTTAGTTACTAGCTGAATCAGAACTGAAGGACACATAAGTGTTTTTCATCTCGAGTGAGTGAATAGATGTTGAAGTATCATGACGTCTGCTATTTTCTTCTTGTATATGAACTACTTTCTTATAGCATATTTGGAGTATTAAGTAAAAACATGATGAAGAAATATGTCTCAAAATAGATAGAATACAACCGTCTGCTTATGATTAGCAAGAACACCTACGTTGTGTTTTGGATTTTAATTCCTTAGAGATTTCGCTAACGGCTTTTATGAAAATTTACCATAACTGAACTAATATGATTTCCTGGTGGAAATAAACGTGTTTGTACAAGACCAAGACCAGCAAATGCAACATATGATTGTGGTGATGTATATGCTAATATTTCAATTGTATTTCCTGTAAAATCTTTTCGTCGATTTACTGTTATATTAACATGATTTGTAACTGATGATGTATCAACATGAAAATTCATACTATCAGCAACAATTTCACCATCATAACGTACATAATAAACAAGTATATGAGCTGATGGAGCCATTTGACGACTAATACCAATATCAAATGTTTTTTGTCTAGAACCATCCATTGGAAGAATATTTGTAAATATTAATTTTCCGGCTGATGTTATATGATAATAAACAAAATCAACATATTGTGTTATATTAACACGAAATAACATAAAATCACCAACACGTGGTGTTTCTGTACTAGATGTAACTTGTAAATAACTATTCGATGGCGATAAATAACGTATAGCACGCTGTTCATCTTCACTACCTTGAACTTTAATATTCCTATCATATAATTCAGCGCGAAGTCTTATAAATGTAACTGTTGGATCAGCAGGTGTTAAAAACCTATGTCTAATTATACCAGATGAATCAATCATATAATCTACTGGAGCTTGTGTTTGACTACGATCTGTATCAGTATAAATACGAATATATCGACCAGGACCAGGAGAATATTTTGTACCATCATCATTCGTAGCTGCTACATAAGTAGTAAAAAGCATACGAGGTTTGAATACCATGGATGGTCCACCAAGAAAACGTAGACGTGTACCAGGTCTATAAAATGAAATAACAGTAGTACCTGAAACAAAGAACTTATATTAGAATATAGATTATAAATATTTCAAAAGACTCTGAGTGAGTTATTTATAATGACAACATTGATGTTCTCATCTCCGCATAATTAACTCATCATGAAAAATTACGACATGAAAGAGAGATGAATAGATTTTCATAAAAACAATGTAGAGAATTATGGTTTTTTAACCTATGGAAACAAAATGAGATAAAAACAAATCGAGTCATATATAGGAATCATCGAAATTTCTGGTGATAGATAAAAATTACCTAAATGAGAAATCATCAGGTCTCGCATTTTAGCCACAAATAGAATGCAATATACTTTGATCGAAAATAGCAAGACGAACTTGATCAACTTTCATGCGAAGTTTGGGTGTGAATGAAAATTTATGAGTAAAGCAAAAACTTGTATCTACACCCATCTCCATTTGACATTTCCCTATTCAGTATTTTATCTTTCTATGTTTTCCACTAAGCCTCACTCACCCTCGACAATGAGTTTTCATCTATTTTTTCCTTTCAATATTTCCTTTTCGCTCTTTTTTGTCCTCAACATGTTTCTATTGGATATTTTTCTTTACTGCCAATCCCGTAAATCTAAAGTATGAGTAAATGTATTTTCACTTCTTGTTTTAACACATGTTATTCAACGTACATTCAAACCTCTTATTTCATCATGGATTATCATTACTGATTAACTTTTGTAATCAAATATCTTCACTATGCCATAACGGTTTTCTCTCTTTCCTTTAGTTCACGAGTATCACATAGCATCAACCCGTGATACAATTATGGATGTATACCAAGAAGAAATAAGAAATTTTGAATCTGGAAGTACTCGAGTATTTATCCAACTTCTATATCCAAAATCTTTTAGAATAAAATGAGATCAAACAAAATCCATAATATGCCATGAAATCCCACAATCGTTACTGTATAATGAAGTTGTTGCTACTACTAAAGTTCGAATGTTAGAGAGCATCAGATATTAGATTTTATGTGATTTGTATTATGACATAGAATTTCAAAGTTCTTCATGGAATGACTTGCAAGACTCTATAAGAGTCTATGCCATCCTACGTGACTGTGAAATTTCAGAATCTTACGGAGTTTGATGATTCTTCATGAAACTCACTGTTTCTCTTGGCATATGTGCTCCATTTCAAGCTTCTATGTGAAAAATCACAAATTTTTCACCTATTCAAAAACGAAACCCGTCGCCAAAAGGTTAAATTCCTTGAGATAAAATCTTTCAAATCAAGATAATACTTTTCTTTTTATTCATATGAAAACATTCTCATGTATGATTTATTATTTTCAACTAAATCAAAGGACACTTTTTTACGATTTAAATAGAATATAGATTGAATGTCGTCATTTATCAAAGAAGACAAATACTTATTGACAATATTAATAAAATGAATTACTTTGAGATACCTTTGAGTGTTTTATAATACATTTATATCATTTTAGAAAAAAATCTTTCACCTAGATTTATTGGTAACTATTTATATTTTTCAATTGTGTCTAGTCATTTTAGATTTAACAATAATAATTATTTACTATTTATTTTAAAATAGATTTTAAATCAACTTCTAATTCTTTAAACTAACCATTATTTGTTTCGTTCCACCATGGATCATGTACAACAGCTGTTATTAAAATTTCATTACCATCTAAATCTGGTAAAAGTGTATGAATAACAGATATTGGTATAAAAAAACCAGCAACACCATTAAAATCATTAATTTTTGTTGTATATGATGGTGTTGTTCGATCAAATTCAGCATCTGGTAATGGATGACCACGTGGATCATATGGCATAGACATATTACGCGCTCGAACAACAATTCGTGCATAACCAAGTACACCCATTCCAGTTGTATAATTTGCTGTTATAATTCCACCTATACCAGGAGTATCAATTGGTAAGTAATATGGAACAGTAACATTAACTTCAAATTTTCGATAATAAAATTCATAAATTTCAAATGTTTTTTTTTCTTCATAGCCCATAACACGACATTTTATTGTCCAAGTACCTTCAGGTGGTGCATCATTAATTGGATACTAAATATTAAAAAAAAATTATTATTAATATAAACAAAACTTCAAATCTTTTTTTGATTATTACTTCAAGTGAAACTATTCCGGCGGTTGTTTGTTGATTTTCCCATTTACGTAAAATATGCCCCGATGGACCAAGAATATATACATCAACTGTATGAAAATAACCACTTAAATCTGGATAAATGGGTATACAACGAAATTGTATAACAGTTTCATGACGATAAACAGGTCGATCAAGTTGAATAAGTATTGATACAGCTTTTTGTTCATATATTAATTGTGACATATTATAAAATTTTCTTTCACCTGTTACTAGTCTTCCTTCAATTGTTAAACGATATGTTCCATTACGAATATTTTTTGGTATATGCATTTGTAATGTACGTGGTATATTAACCATACATATATCTTCAACATTTGCAATAGCCATATCATCATTAGATATTAATGCTTTAACCATCATTGGATTCCATTCCTCTCGTAATATAGTAACACTTATAGAAACTACTTGTGCCGGTCGAATTATACGTGGACCAAGAATAATATACGACGGTGTAATTCGTAAACGTGCTTGTTGTGATGTATGAATATTAAGTGAAAGTTGTCGACGATGAATCGAATGATTAAGTGAAGTATATGAATAAAATTCTTCATTATCTTTGAAATTTTGTGTATCATTTTGAGAATAAAAAGGAAAAAATTCTGATGATTGATAGGCTATGCTTGTTGTTAAGAGGTGCAATAGCAAGATGAGAACAACACTCAACTGCTTCATCTAAAAGTGAAATGAGTTGAGCACCGTTATAAAACGAGCTAATAAAAATATCTTGAAATCGAGAAGATTTTTGCAAAGGTAATATGAATCATTTTAGATTAATATTTTTTATTAAATAACCAATGAATACATTGATGATGACATCTACTCATTTAATAAGTTATTGTCTAGAATTTATTTTTAATCGTAATCAGAGACAAGAGATAATATAGTATTGTTTATACATCTCTCATAGACTATTAAGTGTCGTTAAATATCAGATTTTTCGTTTGAATTGATCTTTTTTTTTCAAAAAGGGTAGCTCTTATCATAAGAAAATGTTATGCACCAAAAGAAAATTCATTATTGTTTGAACTTTATTTAACAAATTTTCATCAGTCCATGAACCATATCAACAAATATTGATGATTGATAAGAAAACAATCGTCTTGTATATATCAAATATTTATATGAATCATTGAAAATACTTTACTGTAACTGTGTAAGTTATAGTGATATATGAGTGTATAATTAATATATTACTCTATTTACAATGATAGTTGTGATCAATTTATCAATAAGTTTATTTCGATTTTTGATTCTAAAGTTAATAACCTTCAATTGTTCGTTTGTTTTATTTAAGACATCAGATTCAATATGCGGTACAAGAAAAGAAAAGGTTCACGACAATATGCCTGTACACCACAACATCAACTTGAAGTTTCACATGAAAAATTTAGTAGATTATGATTATATTTTGAATAGAAATGAAACGTTTCAAGAACATCGTTTTTTAAACCACTATTACCTTTTAATTTACCTCTTAAATTACTATACATTAAAATATATAATGTGTTTCACTATTTTTTGAATAAATTTTTGTAGGAATATTATAGAGACCTTCGGTTAGACGTGCTCCGATGACTCTGAATTTTCTTTCCTGAATGACGAAAATCGCAAGTCTCTATGCTGTTTCTATAAAAATTGAGTCAAAAACAAAACAGTGAAACACATTATATTTTAAAATTCATAAATGATATAGATTGATACGAGTAAGAGTAATATGCATAATTAAGTCGAATAGCATTGATTTGACGAAGTGATGCTATGACTCGAAAAATATATAATTATATAAATTCGATATATTTTCTACAATAATAAAACTATGTATAGATCAAATAACGCAGTATGAGCAAATAAAACTTTGATTGACTTTTTATCATGAAGTAATTATGCGGTATTGTGTATACGCATCTAAAAAAGTTTTTATCCTTTTATTTGAACCATGTCTAATTGTAACTAGAAAAAATAATATATATAGAACATTTTCCATGGCTATGACCATTAAGAAAACTATTGTCGATAATCTTTCTTCGTACTAGGAACTACGACTTATTGGATGTTCTATCCTAAGTCATCCATTGGATCAAACTACTAAATGACGTCAACTTTATAACAGATCACACTATGTTGTAAATTTAATAGTTTTAAGGCTTGTAATATATGATATAATTGAGTTCCCATGTTGAATATCATGTTCTTTGAAATGATCATTGCTTTAATGATGTTCGACATGGAGAATTTGTTACTAAATGGTCTAGTGCTTTTTGTTGTTGGAGCCAAGTTATACTTGTTTCTCGTTCATGAACATGACCATCGATAGCAGGATATGCAATGGAGCAGAGCAGTCCATTAATATTACCATTCTTATCGCTGTTCATTTCAAAAAATGAACATGTTCTACATTACGAATACGAAGAAAAAAAAATAGAACAGTTGCTTTAAGTTTGAAACATGATATCTATGCGTACATACATTTGATAACATAAATGTGATATATATGTTGGCGTCCAATGTCGGATTTAGTCCAATCTCGGATTGGACGTAAATTCATCAGGCCAATCTGAGATTCGCCTAGGTCAATTTGAGATTCGCCTAGGCCAATCTGAGATTGGACGCTCAATTTTCAGGCGAATCTGAGATTGGACGGAATCCGAGTATGGACGCTGACATATATATAAATAGTTCTCTTTTTCTATTTTATTCATCAAAACATTTTCATTTACTTGTTGCTACTTAAGCAAAAGAAAAAAATTCATAGCTTATTTTTGTACCAATTAGAAAAAAACCTATTAAGTGTTTATTAATGAAACAGTTTTTGCTCTCAAATTTAAATCCATTCATATTGTGCATAGTAGACCAAGGTTGGAACCGGTCCGGCAAACCGGTACCGGTTGAAGAAATCAACCGGGCCGGTAAAACCGGAATTTCACCGGTTGAAATTTTTCAAAAATCTTCTTTGTTAATCCTGTCTTTGACCATAAAAACTAAGGTATCACGTTTTTTCTGTCAGAATAGGTAAAAAAGTGCTCAAAACATATGTTATATTAATCGCTTTTCCTGAGGTTCTCTTTAAAAAGATTCATTATGATGAGCGTCTTTTACATGTGCCTTAAAGTATTTCATATTTGGAGCGATTTTTTCTAAAAATCGGTTTTCAAAAAAAAAATTCGACATTTTTCCACCGGTTTTTAACCGGTTTTCACCGATTGGACATGTGATTCCAACCGGCCGGACCGGACCGGACCGGTAGGATTTTTCAACCGGCCGGACCGGACCGTTTTAATATTTCTCAACCGGTTCCACCCCTGTAGTAGACTGACATTTTATTGAATAAGAGATGAATAGTCTGCTTTAAGAAATCTATCGACAGAATTTCATAGTGTATGATCTTAAGGAACTATGAGATCCATGCAAAATTTGACAATCGAAGTCTTATAAAGTAATACTTTAAGGTTTCACTTATACAAATAGCTCTTATGATGATAGTTCCGTGTAATTATATATAGCGGGTGTGTCAAAATGTTTGCAGCATTTTTTTTTACTTCACATATATCTCGGTTTAAGTAAGTGACAAAATTTTGACCTTTTAAAAGATGTACTACAAGAAGCCCTTCAAAAATTGTAATAACAAACTCTTATTGACTCATTCTAATGATTTTCCCTGATATAAAAATAACAAACTTACATAATAGTGCTACTTACCATCATATTGTGTCTAATAAAATTGCACGGATGACTTATTTGTTTTGTTTATATCTCAACACATATAAATCATAAAGCCTTGCTTTTTTTTCGAAAATACATCATTGAAAGCTCGACAAAAACTGCATGAATAAAGTCTATGCGAGAGATGATTTACAAATGAAAACCGTAAAATCTTCGGAAAAAATTCAACTCGGATTATGTACAATAAGTTATTATCGATGGATTTCTTGGCAGAGTATATTCTGATGAACAACTTAATAATGAGACGGCTATGGATGAACATTTATGATGATTATACAATTCCATAGTACTTATTGAAGAATATGTCATCATGTTATAAAACTTTGATTTGAAATAGAAATAACTTTTAAAAACTGTTTCAAACATTTCTTTAATACTCGATCTGACGGAAATAGCGACATGACATAGTTCTTCACTTTCAACCATATAGAAAGATCATCAGAGTATGTCATCAGAGATTTATTTATAAAGCTTGTGTAGAGCTTTCGACAATGTATCTTTGAAAAAAGAATCAAGGTTTTATCATTTATCTAAGCTGCGATATATGCGAAATGAAAAAAGTTGCACACATTTTGACACACCCAGTATATGTTAACGCGATTAAATACGTTCTAATTTAAATATCATGTCCTTTAGAATTGAAAATACACCGTCTATGGGGTGAGGCTTGTCTGTTAGAAAATATTATTTCATACATAATTTCATTGATTAGATTAAATAGAAGTATGTTTTTTTTTTTTCATTTAAACTATTTACTTTTTTTTATTATTATAGATTCTATTAGTGATGTATTCAATGTAAGTATGTGTTTTTATTTCAGTTTAACGATTAATTCAATCGAAATGACTCTTTTTATTTTTTTTATTTTATGTTTTATAAGCGCGTGTTTGTCTTTTTCTTTATTAATGTTTGTAATTTTATTAATGAATATGCCTATGTGGTTAAAAATAAAAGACTCTCTCAGTCGATAAAAGCCAAAAAAATAGAACGAAATTATGTCTTCAATGTTGTAAGAAACCCTAAAAAATCATAAATGACTCTTATTAGATCTGACATGAAGATCATACGAGGTCTCATAATTGAATTGTTTGTCTTAGGCAGAAAAATCATGTTGTACTGAAAAAGCCATTCGATAGACATTTCGAGACGTCGAGATTTCAGCTTTTGACAGACATCGAAATTTTATATCTAACTCTCGAATTGCCACTTTTTGATGGGTCAACGACTCGGCATTTGATTAATTAGACGCACCAATGCAACAATTTTTTTCTGAAGAGACTGATATTTGATCAAAACAAACAAGATATTTTGTTAAGTTTCGTCAAGCATCTCTAAATTAAATATGAGCTATATATTCTTCTATGAAAGCCATCTTTTCAATTCAACAATAGATCATACTTTGATGATAGTGTTTGTTGTATCAATATTTGCTACTAATTTTTAAAAATTACCTTTTTTTGTTTAAGAAAAAAATTTAACGGTGTGATTAAGTCTGAAATTAATATTTAAGAATTTTATCAAAGATTTCAGAAAAATATTTGCTACTGATGTATCCTCATCAAGAATGCTGGTCGATTTTGATCTTAGTTTTCATCAATTCATATTAAGTATTGCTTTGAAAATTATGAAAGTAAGATGAAATATATGCCAAACATTAATAATGCTACTAAGATCGTGGAATAGAAGTAAAAAACATTTCAAAATCTCTTTTTTTTAGAGAAGTTTCACGTAAGCAAAAATTACATTCAGCTGTCGAAAGTTATTATTGTGCTAGACTTGCTTCTACTCCAGCACTTGTATGTTTTCTCCTGATATGTTTCTTTTCCTCAAGTAGTTGAAGCTTCGAGTGGTTGAAGTGTGCTTGAAAAAAATGAGTAGTATTTTTTCGATAGATTTCCTCTCGTTAAGTACACACAACTACGATAAATTCCAACGAGTCGAACATGAATGGCTAAAATCTGATGGCTGTTGAGGGACTCAAAATAAGAACAGAACGAACAAAAAGTATAAAGTCCAAATTTTCAACCGTTTACCGTGTCCATTGTATGCTTTTCAAAACAGTAAATAGTAAGCATATTATTAAACAATTAGCATAGCTATAATGAAAGCATGATCTACTTCTCGTTCTTTGAATGAATCTATAAAATAAACACTTCTTTGATCATGCAATGCAGTTGTTGTAAACAACTACCACATCTCTACCTTTTGTCAATATAAAATCACTAGAGAATGCACTACCTCTTTTTTTTTATTTATTATTCATCATTAACAGCAGTAATTACTAATTTATATCGTCAAGGTACACCAATACGTTTAATTGATGCTAATTATGTTTGATGAGTGTCATCACGAACTGAATAGATGTTGTATATCGGATGTGTATGTATATTTTCTTAACGAAATTTTAATAAATTCATTGCCATTGACTATCAGAAAATTACAATCTCTCACTCATAGACAAATATCTTGAATCGATTGTATAATCAACATCAATGATCGGACGATTCGTCACAGCTGCAAACGACGAGCTTTTGGATACTCTTACCAACGCACTTTCTATATTTCTTTAGGGTTTTTTTGAGGCTAACATGTCAAACGATGGATTCTCTTATCACCATGAATATCATTTGTTTTATTAATACTCACAAAACTATCATTTGATGAAAAATTATTTTTTTCATACTACGGCTAGGTTTCAATTCTGATTTCATCATTATTTTGAATAATTAGAATCTATTTGTATTTGAAAAAAAAAACCTGATTCATCGTTGAAGACACGAACATCATAGTATTTCGTTGCAGTATCCATACATGACTTATAATATAAACAAAGAAATATTAGTAATGTTACGCATCGTCAACAGTAATACATTATGAAAGATATTAATCATTTTACACCAAAAACAAATCACCTACAAAATTAGAACACGATTAATTCTTCACTAATTTAGATATTTTCTTTCGTTTATTATTAACTAAATAGAAAAAGAAACTCGGGAAATTTTCATTATATTTTGTAATATACATAGAAAAAGAATACAGTAATATGAAAAAAAGATAACAAACACGCGAATAAAAACTACAATATACAATTGTTTGTTTTAGCTGTTCGTTGTCGTTCGTTAATGCGACACACATATACAAAAAACAAAGTTGTAATTTCATTTGTGTTAAGATAATAAAAATGTTTTTTTATATCACATAGCGCATTTAATATGGTGGAAAAAAAAGAATAAATAATATTGCATGCACCCACTCATACACTGATATCTACAGCTATTAGTCGAATAATATATTTTATAAAAAAAAAAAAACAAAAAACGAAACGAACGCTTGTCAATGATTCTGGCCTTCAGCTCCGTGATTTTCTAACAGGAGAGTGGTAGAAACTTGGAAGTAGTATTATGATAATCACTTTTTACGGCTAACCCTGCCTAGTATATGATCTTTTTCTACTAAGAGCATAAAATCCGACCACTAGATTCTGACATCATATTCCTGCTTCCACTTTTCTATCATTATCCGGACGAAACTGGCTGTACATCATTCACCTGGAAAAGTATGGTAGAAGTTTTCACTGTTTAATTAAATGTTCGCTGAATTATAAATAAGCTTTTGTTTTTTATAATTAATGTGATTTTCTTCGTCTTTAGGAACAACTAAATCAAGTGGTTGATCACGAGAATAATTATGAGACAGACAAGTATTTAGTGATGTTGGAAGATTTGTTTTACGTTTTGTTGATGCTATTGCTGAAGATGATTGTGATAGATTACAATATTGTCTTTCATTATCATGATTACTATCAAATGATACTGGTGATGATGAACTTGAACGATCACTTTTCGATATAGAATCATTAGGTGTCGTAAATAATCGATTATCAATTGGACTTAAATTTGATATCATTGGTGTAGAAGATGGTGAATGAACTGAAAAAAGTTGAAGATATCTATTAGATATTTCAGTTGATGATTCTTGTCTAGGAAGATTAGATGTTGATGATGATGATGAAAATGAAGATTGTTTATTGATTGTTGAATAAAATGTACTTGTTGTATCAACATTACGTTTCATAGTTTTTCGAATTTCATCGGGTGAACGCATAAAACGATATAATAGACGTTTTGATTGTTCTTTTGCAATAATATTATTTGAATAATAATAACGCATACCACGTGATAATTTTTCATAGGTCATTGATAAACGATTTTTTTGAAGGCCTATTGATAATGAAATATAATCATCGTAAATTTTAGTGCTTGAATAAATTGCATATTAGTATAATTTATGCTAACACTTCAAACGTTCTATTTTTCAATGCTTATCAGAATTAATCTCACTAACACCCACATAGTATGATTCATAAAAAAAAATTGGATCTTCAAAAATGCCCTTCAAAATCCGTGTCAAACATAGTAACATCCACGAACACTTCCAACCTACCTTCTGATCTGAGAAAATATTACCTCTGAATTAGCTTTCTTTACAAAATTTTTTCTTAAAACATATGAGTATTTCTTTGAAAAAATTTACAAGCTATACTCAAATATTGTCAGACAAACTTTTTTTTTTGAAAGAAAACGATTTAGAGTCAGCATTTATTTAGATCAGAAAGTAGGTTATGAGCATCTGTGACGGTTAGTGAGGAAGAGTTCAGTATTAGTGTGATAGATCTAAATTTGATATCCATTATTGAAGAATCACTTTTTCAATGATTCCTACGAAATGCATATCCGTAAGAATAATTTCAATCAACCTTGGAAAAGTGAGTATTTTTGAGTATTAGCATAAATTACTAATATGCGAATAAATCATACCCCAAAGAGCAGCAAGTTTGTCAGCTTGAACTATTCGAAAAATCATTTTTTCACGATTTTCCCAATGAATAATTGATTCATAATATGGATCTTCAAGTAAAATATATAAAAATTCCCATAGAATACGACAATCTAAATAAAATTCATTATCAATAACAAAATATTAATAAATCAACTTGATACTTTTAGCTGCTTGTGGTTTCATTATAATATTACCATGAAAATCCACTCGATCATGATAATAACGTATTTTTCTTGATATATCATTGTCATTCACATTTGTAACATCGTTCGTTTGCTGTTTTGTCTTTGAAAATAATCCTGAACGAATTTTTAGTGGTTTAGGTTCGTTTAATTGTTGAGATATTGATGTCGAATGTGATGTAATTGATTGACAAGGAACTTTATCATTATCTTTACGGTCTGTACATTCTTGTTTAATAGATGACATTGAATGATGAAAATTATTTTGTTCGAATGGTTTTGTACCTTAAAAGAAATTTTTTTTCATTTAAAAAAAATCACAATTAGACAAAAAAATTAACAAACTTGATGACGAAGATGAATTTAATATCTGTTGTGTTCGTATTGATTGTTGTAAATTCATAAAATCTGTTTGTTGATGTTTTTCAGGAGGATGATACATATAATTAATTGTAGGTTGCATATAAGGCATAGGTGATGGTCGTAGGGGTGGTGGTGGTGGTGGGGGCGGATGTGGTGGTAATGGAACATTAAAGTGACGGATAGATGATGGTGGAAAAAGGCCAAAATTACTCCACAATTGATATGGAAAAACTAGAAAATTGATTTTTTTTTAATTAATTTCTAATTAGAAAAACTTACTTTGACAAGTCAATGATTTAACTAATGCATTATGTTGTTGAAGAGCTTTATGTAAAATATCACCAGAACGTAAAGAACGTTGTTTAAATCCATCTTCATTCAATAATAATAATGCTTTACCTATGAATCATGACAAAAAAAATAAATTAAAAATTAAAAAAAAAAAAAAATTTTATTTAACTAACCATTCATTTCAAAATCATTCAAATTAACGTCTCGTAATGAATATTCATCGATACAATATGCGATCCATTTCTGTACATCATCTTTTGTCCATAAAATAATTGGATAAACTACATCAAAATGATAGATATATATATATGTAGAAATATTCTTTTTCTTAATCGAAACTTCTTACGTAAATTTCCCGATAAATTCATTTTGAATGGTGGTATAAAATAATTATTTGTTGGTAGAGAAGTACTAGGTATTTTATTATCAGTATTAGTAGCTACCATACTAAAATAGAAAAGAAAAATTTTATACATGATGATTTTTTCTCATTGTAGAAAAATGAAACAGAAAAGAAGAAAATGCGATGATGCATTACAAATCATGGAAAATAAAAACCGAACAAGGAGAGGCGAATCATGTTTACTAGAAGTACGTACAAGTATATAGTCATTTATATACATATAAGCATATTCTTTCTCTCTCCTCCCTCTGACTTAATGTCCATGTTGACGTAGAATGAAAAGCATCATCAACCTCACCTCCTACACAATATTTTTTTTGTAAATACTTCCGTACGTTTACCTATCAGAGAAAAAAGAACAATCAGAACAAAAAATTAAGCACTATATTATATCTGATAGGATATACAAGTGGATAAATCATATGATATATGTGCAACATCCTTAACCAACAGTCATCAATGGATAGTATTTACAGAAAATCGATAAACGAGGTAGGTCTTTATGTTAAATCGACAATTGATTGATTATTAGAGAAGACAAATAGATAGATTCGTAAGGAAGTTTTATTTATGAAACATCTTTTACTTGATCCGAATGAAAATTAGTACAAGGAAGTGTCAATAGATAGACTAATATAAGAGTATTTAATATTTAATTTTGATTATACTCACAGTGTTCTTTCTGATAGTTTAAGAAAAAAAAGAAACGGAGAGAAAGGGAACACTCATGAGTGACCTCCTTGCTTTGAAAATTTATTGTAGGCCAACAAGAAGGATCCGTTGTTTTTGATTTTATCGTCTGTCTCGGAAGTTCAAGAGCACTATTCTCTCTCACGACAGAAGACATATCCCGTTCTGTTTTTGTGCTGTCTCGCTTTCGGTCAGTCGACAATGAGAAAAGAAAAGGTATTATTTCAACTCGCTTTTTGAATATACATACATATATCCCACTGGCCTTGTTCTGTTCTTTTTTCCCTCCATAATAATCATCATCATCCATCCTGTCTACCTGTCGAGACGACAACAGAAAGAAAAAGAAAGAAGAGGAAGGTCCGAAATAACATCTATAGTAAAACAAATTTTTCGTTTTTCTTTCCTTTCACATTCATTGTGTTGAACGATATCTGTACTAACGCATTTAGCACATAAATATTTCGGTCTTTATCTCGGTGACCTCAAAATAAGAACGAACACTGTATATATATAGATGCAATGTTCTTCATCTAAAGTGTATGAACAGAGGTGACCGGAACAGAACATAAAAGGAAAAAAAGAACTCGTCTTGTCTTTTAAATTTCTCCCCTATCGTTTTATTGTCATGTCCCATGCATGGCACTACCATTGTCATGTGTCACACGATATTTTACAGTCATCTTTCAATCACCAGATCCAATTAAACGATGAGCATATAAATATATATATATATGTATGTGTAGACAATCGACAGGTGTTGTTTGTGAACAATGATGACATTGATAAGACGTACGACAAACATCACTTGATCGATTACGCATATTTACGCTAAGCTTTATTTCTACAAAGAAGTGCTAATGCAAAGACTATGATCACATTAACAATTTTCTTTTTTGTTTACGATGCACAACCGATAAAGAAAAACTAGGTCACAACAATCTGTTTTTTCTTTTTAGTCATTATTATCTCATGATCATTGATCTGCATGGATTCATGTACAAAAAAAATATATGATTTCTTCATTATATATATCTTGAACTTCTCTTCACTGACATCAATTGTATATTGAAAGAAAAGAAATGTTTGCATGTATATGATGGAGCAATGGACGACGCTCTCTTTATCGAGACTATTCAATACGTGACTCTTGTACTCTAGTCAAGTGAAATTTCCATTTTACACGCTATGAATTCAATCAATATCTGCTTTGCTTCATTTGATTCATATTTCGTTTCAATTTGAATGCTTTCGTCTAATGAATGGAAATGAGATTTGACTTTAAAAAAATACAATTATTCATTAGAAGAAGATATACTCTTGACGGAAGACAAGCATAATAAAAAAGAAAAAAGTTTGCTAACCTGTTCATGGAAGATAAGACGATAGCGGTAAAGTGAAAGTCGATTCATTGTTGGCAAGCAAATATTCTGTTTATCATCTTAAGAGATAAATAAATTGGTCGTTTTTATGATGAAGATGATAAGACGAAAGACGAGAAAAAAAGACAAGCAAGGAAATATATTTGAATACACCGCTAACAGTTTAAATAATGGTGTATGATTAAAGAAACTTAGTTCTTTATTTATATAGTTACTCTATTGAATGTATGTATAGATATGCTAATCGGGCTGAAGGTGAAATCGAATGAAATATCATGCATGTGAATGCATCTATGGTCGGAACTAGTGAAAAATATGACAAAAAAATATTTTTTTTCTCTGCATACGATAGCTCTATTCGTTTTTGTATTGATTTAATCGGGTTAGTAATGTTTGAATATAACCAAATAATATGTATTTATTTTTTCTATAGTAGTCTTCTAGTAACCTTTTGTTTTAGGAAGGTAATACTACGTAATAACGTTTATTTGCCTGTCAATTCTATATAATGACAGATATTTCTGCTTTCGCTCGTATTTTTTTATCAAAAAATGAAGCCTAACGAAACGAATAAACACAAGTTGACCCGGAACTTTACAAAAGAAAACAACAGCACAACATTCTATATATTTCTGAATGACATTTTTTCTCTCTCTCCTTTTCTTTTTTGATTCTTTGTTTGAAGATTTGTGTAATGGTTACTATATGGTAAAACAAAAAAAAAACCAATAATAATAACAAAAAAACAAAAACGTTTATATCCGCAGTTGATTTAATCAAGACATTTCATGTAAAATTTCACACATATTCCAAACATCATATTTCTTGATCGTTATCATAAAACTATTTTTCAGCTGATTTTTCGATAATTTTCATCCATAAACGTAAATTCAAATTTATAAATTCCTTTTCCTTTGCCAATCATTATCGTCAATCATTCATATATTTGCCCATTTTCTTCTTTTTTTTCTTTCTTTCATTGCATATTGATTTCTTTGCCACGCCCTTACATATACAAATGCGAGCGGGAAGTATGATTATTGAGTGCGTTTTTTTTGTTTCCTTGCTTTCCGTGCGTATTCATTTTGGTGTAAGAAAAAAAAAAACGAAAAAAGTAAAAGAAAAAGTAAACCTTTTTTTTTTCGAAGACATAATCGAAGCAAATAATGGAAAAGAAACAATACTATTCAACATTATGTGACGCACATAAGGCCGCAAAAATGAAATCCTTTTCAAGTACGCTACGTAATTGATCAATACACATGCATACCAGTTAGATAAGAAAAGAAAAAGCGAAATTTCAATCGTCCTTTGTATTACATTGACGACAAACATGAATTTGCACATTTTCTTTGTTAACTCTATCTAGTACGAAAATAACGAATACACAGTCACTAATTGTTTGACGCACTTTAAATTCTGTTTGATATAATAGATGAAAAAAAAGTAAAAAAAAAACATATAACAAGTATTTATGGTAAATATATGATGCATCGTGTTGAATGACGGGACAATACGAATCAAAATCCTTTCGTCACTCGGTTGTTTTTTCCTTTTTTGTTGTTATACACTCCAATTGCAGCAAGGCTGTGATACGAAGAAAAAAACAAATGGATAGAAGAAAAAAATAATCCTCGCATAGATAGTGTATAACCGTTGCATAAAGAATCATAGAGGTCAATGGGTAACCAACAAAATTCATGTACATTAACTGAAAAAGATATTGCGTTGTTAGTAAAAACAAGCGGTAAAACTGAAGATGAAATTCGTCAATGGTATAATGAATTTTGTCTCGAAAGCAATAATACTGGTCGCATGAATAAACGACAATTTCAAATATATTATACAAAATTAAAAAAGAATCCAAATTTAGATAAAATTACTGATCATATTTTTCACGCATTTGATGCTGATAATTCAGGTAAGTTTTTCATTTTTTATATTTTTTTTGTTTTATTTTTGAATTTTTTCTTCAAGGTACTATCGATTTTCGAGAATTTCTTATTGCTTACATAGCAACAACTTCTGGTACGAACCAACAAAAATTTGAATATTCATTTGACGTTTATGACATAGATGATAATCAATTAATTGAAAAAAAAGAAGCAAGAAAAATTCTTAGTTTATTATGTCGAATCCTTGATTTATCTGAAGATGACGCAAAAGCATATACAGAAACACTCATGCTTACATTTGACACAAATAACGATAAAGTTTTAACAAGAACAGAATTTATCAATGGCTGTTTACATGATTCAACATTAGCACATATGTCGAATCCATTTAGTTTTTAACTGCGAACAAAAAAAAAACAGACTCTTCTTGTATTGATTAAAATAGATAGAAAAAAAATAACTTTTTGCAATTCATCGTATCGGATGAATGATAATCATGATAAATGAAATACGCACTTTTTTTTTGACGATGATGAATGAATATGATTATTTTTTTCTTATCAAAGTACTATCAGATGAACTGTCAATATATCTACGCTTGCAAATTGTCCAAACGCATAGGTAAACAAATATTCATTTTGGATGACTTACCTTTCCCTTGAAAATAAGACGGAAATTAAGTTGACAACTGAAGGATATTTTTTTTTTGGGATATAAGATTGCTAATGCATCAATAAGATTTTAGCTATGTTAAATTTTGCAGATGTATTGCAGTCAGAAACAGAGAGAAGTGTTACAGGACGTGTGCTCTGCAGGACATTTAAGTCACTTAATGCGTCGAGATCCAAAGACGTTCTGATCTACTAGTGAAACTTATTGCAATTTCTCATTATTATCAATAGTAATCAGAAGAGTACATGTCACACCAATGACTAGTGCTTCTATGGAAAGATTATATAGCTCAACTAAATTAACAATTACTCAAAGATGTAGATGCTTGGAAGTTTTCGAGTTTTAGCTTAACTATAACAAACTGATTGATGGATCAGTTCGCTGCCGATGTCGAATTCTACCAATGAATCAACACAGAACGTATAAATCTGACCATCACATCATAGGGTCCTTCGTTTTGATTGCAAACGATTAAGAAACTTTTTTTTGCCATATGCTTGTAATGATTGTATATGGAAAATTGGCCGCCCAGAATTGCCAGGACGAGTTCGAATTCAGATAGTCTATTCTGGATTTCTATCTGGTAAAGCTCTATTGAAAATGACAGAGTCAGATATAGTAACACGCTGCCAGATACAAGAGTCTCGGTCTCCATACATGCCTAAATCATACGTTTGTTAATTTCAAAAAAGGATGATGGCTCGCAGCTCTCTCTTTTTCACATGCCTATAAATTACAAACAAGCATTGGAAAGAGACGATAGGTCAAAGATAAAACAATCCAAATAGTAAAAGATCTAAACTATCAAACAGTTTGAGTTTGGTACATGCCTAGTTAAAAGATGTATATACTATTCAACATTTCCATTGTTTTAAAGAATTAATAAGACGTCAATTAAATATTTGGCTAATTATAACATTACAAAGAGTTACAATCGTCAGAAATTATTTTAGTAAAATTTTACTAAAATTTTTTAGTATTCGTTTTAGCATCAAATTCAATGGAATGAAAACGAGATTGAAAATCATAAAGGACTCTATGAGACAATAATATCTTTCTATTACAAGAGATAAATCTGCCTTTTTAAATCTCAGTATTCTTTCGAAACTGATTACATAGTCATGAAAAGTTCGTTGATGCGTTATTTCAATTCACTATGATAAACATGAGTATATAATAACATGAACTTCAAAAGACAGTCAGTTAATTATATATAAATTTCAGTGAAATCTTTCTATTTAAATGACAAAGAGGTTCAACATAAGTATTCGATAGTGATTATCAAAAGTAATGGACGCGGTGGAATAAATAAGTCTCTCAATATGTTCACAAGGAATTTTTCAACGTTCAATGTAGATAACGGTTCTTTTTTTTGTAATGAAAATTCATCGTTTACTTTTCTGCAAATCTGTCTATGTTGTACTATATTTATGAATCCATTTTGATGTTTTAGATAATGGAAAATAAAGACGTTCGAAACGTTGTAATTTCCAAGCACTGAAATATCGACACGTCAACAATTTCCAACATTCAGAATCAGTCTTTTTATAGACATTCTTTTCTTGTTTTATATCATCACATTTTCTACTGTGATCTGCTCTCTTTTTTTTTCATTTCAAAATTTCAAGAAACTAAGGAAATTGTTCGAAAAGAAAACATTGAAAACTTTCAATCACTACGGCATGGATTATTTCATCGACTTACATCGAAGGAGAAGTATATTAGTTGGAAAACTACTGATGCAGCGCTTGACACTTTTGAAGTAAATGTTCGATGGATATTAAACATTGATCTAGAATTGAAATTTTATCAGGCAATGATCAGTCTATCACATTCCGACGACCACACGGTCAAATAAAACACGTAGGCAAATTCAGCTCGAATAGAATTTCGAAACAAAAAAAAACAATGAATCATTTTTTGAGAAAAAATTCTTTTTCATTGAGTGTCCCTAATACTCATAATGATCAAGTATTGACAACTGATTGTACTGTAGCTAATCAAAACATCAACATCCGACAGAAATGATAGTTTCTTCAGAAAATCATGGCATGGCTGAATCCATATTCAAAGAAGAGTGACACTGTTGTCAACCTTGGTTGAAGAAAACGAAACTTTCGGTTATAATTCTTTAGACTATTCTACTCAAGATGTAATTGCTCATACAATCAACTAGGAAAGCCGATGTCGCATAATTATTCGCAATAACGCTAGCAGAACCATGGCACCCGCCTACTTCTGAAACTCGTCCACACTACACTTCTTTTTCAGAGATTTAGCAACTCTAATTCCCACTCCTTTTCCCCTGTAGTCCTGAGTTACGACTCTGGCCACCGATTTATCGATGTTCTTGTTTGTCCGATTTGAATCATGTGGCAAAGTCAAATCAAAACTAACATTAATTCAGCAGTTAAAATCTGCAGCAAAAAAAATTTCCACATAGGTTGTATTTATTGATTGTATCATATTTCCCAAAATCATGAAGAGAGTTTTGTAGAACATTGATTAGTTACTCGTTTAGAAAGAAAAAAAAGAAAAGATCAGAATCGGATGTGATGACAAATAAAAAGAAAATATTGTGAAGATAATGGGAGGCTCATTTATTCTGCCGCATCCATTATAAGGAACAAAGTACAGAACATTGATGTTGCTCTGACTCTTCTCAAGGTTCATCAGAGTATCTAATAACAAAAAAAACCATTGTTTTTTGTAAGTTTATACAATAACAAACGCTCTAAACAAACAAGCAAATACACGTAGAGCGCAACTTTGAAAACATGAAATAGATAGTTACAACACATGATGTACATACAAATCAAATACACAAAAGAAAAAAGAATATATATATATATGTGTATGAGGAAATTATGACTAGTCATGAATATAGCTCAGAGATCCTCTATATTCTTGTTTATTAATTTTTTTTTCACCAAGCTATTTCCACATTTGAAAAAATGTATGTATCTGCTTGTTGCATAATTGAATCAAATCGATCGAATAACTAAATTAAAGACATATATCAATAAAATAATAAATAAAATAAATATAATAAACTACTTCTTGTAACCATGCAGTATCTCCACATATTGCACTAATTAATTCAGTTGCATCAGCTGTTGGATTTAATGCTTGTAATTCAGCAACCTTATAAAAATCATACAATAATAATAACAAAAAACAGAATATGTATTCATTTACTTTTTGTTGTGCATGACAAAACATATGATAAACATGATGTTTAAGTTGATGAGCTGTTTGAGCTAAAACAGCTATATTTTCACATACAAATATTTCCTAAAATTAAAAAAAAAGTTGTTGGCACAATTTCAGTGGAGATTAATATGTGAAACACGATATAGCTGCGATTGCTAATCAGATGGAGACGTTTATTCTATATATCTTGGGACATATTTTCTCACTCGTCTTTTACGTAATCCGACAGTCATGCAATAAAGAAATAATTAGCATGTTAGAGTCCATCGAATTCAAAATTTTCGTATTCCATTAACTGAAAAGTTTCAGATTCGAACTCTACTGGATATAGGACTAATTCGATGGGTTCTATTCGTCAAGATCCTTGTATATGACTTTTTATTCTTTTGAGAACGATATAAGGAAATGATATATTTACCAATATTTGTAATGGAGTTTCACTTGCTTTTAATGTATCGCCATCATATTGATTTCCGTGAAATCGTAATGTATGTGAAACTGGTTGGGATTTATCTTCAGTAACCTAGATTACGAAATTCTTTTTGTTTGTGTTTTTTCATAAATTTAGTTTTGTTTTTAATTTACTTGACAATGTAAATTTCGTTGTGGATGAGCGATAATATCAAGCAAAGGATATTTAGCAACTGCATACTATTGAAATAAAAATATTTGTTATTTTTTTAATTTATATTCAATGAAAAACTTAGAATTTATATGTACCGGAAAAGTTTCAATCGTACGTCTTGATTGAATAACATAATTATAACGTTGTTCAAGCATTTCATCGATCAATCGAATATATGTTGCATATTCATCTAAAGTATACATTTCATTTTCTTGTATAGATTAAAAGAAAGTTAACAATGAATCTTACCGGTATTTGCTTTAATACGTGGTAAAACATCAGCATCATAAACATGATTGACAAGTACTTGAGCATAGACATCATGTTGAATACGTACTGAACTCATATGACCATGAATTCTAAAGAAAATTTTTCTCTGTTTTTCTCTTGTTCAGTATAATAAAATTAATGATATCTTACTTAAGTTTAATTGGATGGGATTCATTAACAATACGAACTACTTCTTGATTATTATGTAAACCTTTTAATTCACATTTAAGTGGAACATAATCTTCATATACATTCGTATAAAACATTCCCTATAGTAGACATAAATCATCAGTATTTGTATTGAAAAACTGCAAAATTCGCATAAAAATAAAACTAGATAATGTTCGATAAACTTATTAAAAATATAGCACAGACTTTTACCAATGAAGTAAGACGCCTACCAACGCTATTTAATGCTCCAATTACAGTTATACTGGGACACGCATACCATAATTTATATCAAACATTCGTAAAGATTGGTGTGACTCACACTAACGAAAAACTTTTAATGAATGTTCAACTTTAGACTCGGACTTTTTTCTACATCTTTTATCATTTCATCTTATAGATATTGCTTGACCACTCGTTCCGAATATATGAATGAGGATGTTTTCTGTACTCTGACATTCATCCTGAATGCTCTTTTAAAACTAATATGTAATATGCCGAAGTATCGTAGCACACTTACAGACACTTATCCTTGATAACAATTCTTTTTGTTGTTTCACATAACTCGTATTCGTCGTATAAAATATTGCTGTATTTAAATTCGATACTCTGACAGTGAAGGATCCGAGTAGAGTACAATCAATGGCATGAATTCATTGGAAGACATTCATAGACGCTAGTCTGGTAACACTCTAAAATGATCTTTGTTGGTATATACCATATCAGAGGCTAAAATTCTAATAAAATGTCTATAACTCTAGAAAGAAGACCTAAGACATTCATCCTTTCGGGCTTTTTATACCTCACTGAGGTCTATCTAATATACAGGATCTGAACTCAGAATTGATTGATCCGTTGGACATGTGTCCTCATTGGATCTAAACGATGTGATAATAAATTTCTTGTTAAAATAACAAAAAAAAAAGGAAACTTTTTAGGTTTTAAACATAATAAATCTTGTTAATAAGTTTAAAGATTTTTCTTACTTCATCTGTAGCTTCCCAAGCAATTTCTGAATCTGCAAGTACTGTATCATATTTAAGCAAAAGTGTTTTTGTATGAACTTTCCATATAGGAAAATGAAGTAAATTAAGAAAATGTCCTTTATAAAGTAAAAATTGACCAAGTTCAAATGGAATTTCTGGACCCATTTCTGTTACTAAACAAAAATGAATAATGCATTAAATATGATAAATATTACAATTTATCATTTCAAACCTTCTTCAGCATATTGTTGTGTTCCAGCAGTTGTTGTAACTGATTGATTAACTGTTGCTTCTTGTTGTTTACCATTTGTAGATGATTCTTGTTGACTTCGTTCACTAGCTACTTGTTGTTGAAGTGCAGCATTTGCTAATTGTAATTGTTCATTTTTAAGATCATATAAAGCAGCTGCTGCTAATGATGGACGATCAATATCCATATAAGATGATGAACTAAAATATAAATCCTATCATTAAAACGATTCTCCATAGTTTAATATACTTTGTAGTTGTTGATTGATAAACTCCTTCAGTCGTTGTATTAACATCTAAAAATAAAGAAAAATGTTTTTGTTTTTTGTATCTTAAACTAAAACATTATGTTTTCAATTCTTACTTGTATTATTTGTACCAAAATTTCGTTTCGATATTGCTGCTGCTAAAAGTGCATCTGCTGTTTGCTAAATAAAGTAAACGAAAAATTTTCAAAAATAAAAAAAGATTTTAAATTAAATTTTACCTTTTCACTTTGTATTCGATTAGGATCAGTTGTTGCAAGTAAATCATTAGAAAGATAATTGGTTGAATTTTGATTTGTTTGTTGTTGTTGCTGTTGCTGTTGTCCTTGTACCATTTCATTTAATTGACTAAGTATTGCAGCGGCTGATGCTGTAGCTGATTCAATACCTTCATTTCCATTTGTTGTTTGTGATACTGTAAGTGTACCAGCACTTAATTGATCAATGATATGTTGAGGTAATGTTATGGTTGTCTGCAACGAATACAAAACTTTAGTATAAAAAACAAACAAGGAAAATCCTGCTTCCATTTAAAAAAAAATACTATAAAAGTACAGTATCTCTGCAGTTATAATCTAAGACTAGCAACTCTTTTCAGATTATTTATAGCTGCTATTGAATCTACATAGTCTCGACTTAAGAATGATTTATCATTTGAAGAACTTTTCTCCTATAGAAAAAAAAAACAATGTTTTATTTTTCTTACAGTATTATTAAGAATATTTGGTAATGTTTGTGCATTACGAAATAAACCACTTAATGTATTTAAATTTTGTTGTTGAGAATTGGGTGTCAATGTTATTGTTTGTGGTAGAAAAGCTGTTGTTTGATTAGCTCCTGTTGTTGGAAGATTTTTTAACAACGGATTTATTTTAACACCTTTACTATCATCATATAATGGTCGACCAATAACCATTATCTCTTCAATACGTGATTCATCATTAACCATATAAGTTTGATAACCCATTGTACCAGTTGGTTGACCAAGAGAACTTAAAACAATACCAGCATTGACTGCACCAATGTAAACATTATCTTTAGGTTTACGCATAATCGGTTCATTAGCTAAAGCTTCTAATGATGGCATTTTTTCTCCGGCAAGAAATTTTAAAAAAGCATTTTGAAATGAATTTTCTTTTGGATCATAATGAATTTCGACTGAACGACCGAAGAAAAATGAAAAATAGTAGATTTTTATTGATATTTAAAGAAAAAAAAGTAAATTTTTATTTTACTTGGTTTTCGTTTTGGTGGTGGAGCTGTAACACGTTGTACAGATTCTTCTACATTTTGTACATGAAAGGCATTGGTATTGACCTAAGATATGTAATAACAATACATAATAGAATGAAAAAAAAAAAATTTTTCTTTCTCTTATACTTTGCTTTGAAATGATTGTTTATGTGGTACAATTGATGGATTCATTGTAGCAGGTGCTATAGGTTTTGGTGTGGGTTTTGGTTGAATAGGTACAGGTGTTGACACAACTGGTTGAGCATGAGTTGTTTGAATAGTAGGCATTGAAGCAATTTGTAATATTTGTTGTTGTAAACCAGCAGGAACTTGAGCCACTTGTTGTTCGGCATAATGAGAGAATAAAGAACCTAAAAATTATAAGATATTAATTTATTTTCGAAGTTCAGAAAGAATCGGTATGATAATCATAGAAACTGATTCTTATTAAGAATGCTATGCGCATTTGACGACAGATTTTAAAAGTATTCTACATGAGGCTGTCTTTCTGTCCATAGCTACAACTAATATTAGTTGTAGGGAATACATTGGGCTCTTCATTTTATCACTAAGAAGTACTTTATGCTGAAATGTAGTCGAAACACAGAGTTATCTTCTTTTTTTTTATCTTATCCGACTAATGAATTTTTCATTAGATATCCACCAAATTTCAACTGTTAGATGCATTAGTGATTGTGTAGAATTTCCAGATTCCATAGGACATCGTCGGCCTGATGTCGGATGATTTTATCTAAAGAGTAGAAGCCTCTATTAATTCTTATTTTTCGGAGCACTAATTGAGTAAATTTGTTGTTTAGGTAACTACGATAATACCTTATATAGATGTTAAGTATGGTATTGAATCCATTCGGAAGATGATTCATAGTTAGGCAGTTGCACTTTTCGGAGTGAAATCAGTTCTTTCATTGATTGAATCGTTTGTCTTGATTTTTTTTTATAATATACGTAAAATCATTGGTTCTAACTCCGATTCGAAATCGTTCATTCCTATTGTTAACATTTTTCTCAGATGAAAGGTTATAATAAAATTTGAATGTTTCTATTTTTTTGTCGATAGGAAATTATTTAAAAACGATGTTAAAATGCCTTTTGACTCGCTATGAGTTCTAATGAAGATTTTAACACGAATATCATGTTCTTCCCTATGAATGTATCAAAAATTATTCAAGTTGTCTTGAAAAATGCATCTGTAATCAGAAAGATTTTAAAAATTACTCTCCAAATAGATAATGCACCTAATAATAAATATCCAGCTAACAGATATTAAAATAACTAATATATGTAACTAAATAAAATTCAAAACAGATTTTTTCACTATTTTGAGAAAACATCGTTTTCCAACTGATAAATTTTAGCTGAAGTATGATGGAAAAAATTTATGTAGTTTATGACAAACTCTACACAATATTCGGTAACTATTTCGATTCAATGGTTTATTACTTCACATAGATAGTTTCTATGAATGAGTCAAAAATGACTCAACAGAGGATAAAGGATTAACATTGAAAGCTTTCTGACTCTATGATTATCATCTGTAAACTAAAAGATCATTTAATCGATATTAAACAAAACGATAAAAAGTAAATATTAATACACCAATCAGTTCAAATCAGTTGAGTAGTAGTGTGTAAGTTTTTATTCATAAAATATCATCTATCCGTTCTTATTTAAAAAACATCATTTTTGAACTGATATTTATGTAGAATCACTTACCATCTTGTAAAAGTGCATTTATATCTTGATCTTTATCAATGATAACATCTATAAAAGTAAACAAACAATTATTATTCATTGAAATAAAATAGAATCATTTCATTTACATTGATCTTGTCCTTGATCATCTGTAATAATTAAGATTTGTTGATTTTCAGTTATATGATTTTGTAATTGATTTATTAATTCAGCTTGACTTGTCGCTGTTGCATCTTGAATTATAACTAAATCACTATTTCCAACAGTTGTTGTTGGTAAAACATTACCAGTTGTTTGTAAAACAGTACCCGGTAATACTTGTGCAGCACCAACTGTTGTTAATGGAACAATATTACTAAACATTGTAAAACCAAAAACTTTGAAAAGAGAAATCTATAAAAAAATATTTCGATAATATTTTTTCATCACAATTGGATTGTTTGCTTTTTTTATTTGACACAAAGAACGAATCGAACGTTTGATTAGGACAAATATCTAACCAATAATATTCTGAAGAAAATTTTTGAGCGAGGTCGCACTATGTCAATGTTTGATATACATATGTGAAAAAATAATGAATACTAATGTTGCATGTTTATTCGCAGTACCGTTAATATGCTCCAAGATCCGTAAGAATCGGCAGTAGCGCTTATGACTTTCGGTTCCAACTATAAATGATTTCAGAGAGTGTTTTCTACTCAAATTAGAATTTATTATTAGAAAGAATTCAAATTCATCAAGAAAAATAAAACAGTTTCAGAAGTATATTTTACCAAGAAGAATTTTTGCAGTGTTATCTGTAAGAAAAATTGATCTTAGAACTGGAACTGATTTGAGCTCTATGGTTAGTACAGGTGACTGAGATACATCGACGTTATTTAAGATCACTGGAATTGACTTGATTTTCTCATTGTTAACAGGTTTCAAAAATATTCACTCGTTGTGATCATCATTTTTCAATAGAAACGGCGTTTTTTTTTCTTTTCGAATCACCTAGCTTAATTACACTACAAATTTTAGATGAAAATCAAGTTTTTTGTTCGAAGGACAACATGGCTATTTCTCAATTTTCAGCCCAATAATAATAGTTATATTCGAATATTAATTTATCAATGAATTGATGTATAATCTAATTTTATTTCAAAATTAAAATTCTTTTTTTGAAATTTAGAGTTTATACAATAAATAAATAACTTATGTAAAGTTTTGAGTGAAGACAATATTGTTTTGCACCAGATCAAATGTATCATATTTATTGTCATTCAGTAACATACCATATTAAATTTCATATTCTTATTATTTTTGAACAGTTTATATTAGAATGTTCAGTGGGAGAGATTTTGAAAGCTATATTAAAGTAACCTTTCCGCGACCAATGGTGAATTGAATCCATGATGAATATACCAATACATGATTTTACGAACTTTGATATTTTTGATATTTAACACTCAAGTAGCGTTTCAATTGTTTCTTATTGAAATAATAATTTCATACTTATATTTTGATTCTCTACGCTGGCAAAAAAGAAGACAGCTCGACTAATTTCTCAGTTGACACATGAGTAATTTAATGTTTCATCTTCAAATAATAGATTAAATAAAAGTCAATAAAAAACTGAATATTTCTAAAAGAAAGTAAAACTTCTGTTTTAAACAATTATTGGAAAATAACAACAATGTTATATATTGAATAGGTTACATCAGAGAAAAAGGTAGAATGCTAGAATTGTGTAATTTTATGAAATCGTGGTGAATTCTAGTTAATGTTTGGGTACCCTAGGAAATTTGTCTGACTTTCAGGAGTTTTTAATAATCCTGGAGAAATCAATAGAATTATATGTAATCATTTGAAATCATAAAGAAGATTGAAGTATATAGTGTGAAATTTCTTGAATGTACTACTGTTGCAGGAAAATCTCTTAGCATCAATTAATAATGAATGTAACATTTTCAATGCAATTTTTCATAGTCTGCTCGTTCAGATTTGTGAAGATGCGAATATAAATGAGGTTGAAGAGTAGACAAACAACTACATTCACATCCTCTCTCCGCTCAAAACCACATTTAAATCCGAAAAGTCAATCAGAAAGGTAAGATATTTCTCGAATCGTGGTAGAAACAAACTTATTATAATCATGAGCTTAAACTGTGACTGAACTATCATGAAAGTTTTCCACTAATAGTTGAATCTGACAGTGTCTGTCTCAAAAAATAACTCTTTGTGTTTGCTTCCAAGATAGTAGAAACTCAGGTATCTAAAAGATTAACTAGAATTGTACCATGCAGCATACGTCAAACACCCACACAATCTCTGCTGCCATCTGTCTTCGAAAGCAACCGCGAAGAATCTGAGACAATATTTGAATGTTTACAACTGCGAAAGTTTAAAAAAAACCGATACATTCAATATGAATATCGTACTGAAATATAACCAAGCAAAGTGTTAGTACGCTTTCAATCTATATTGCAGCAGCCAAGACGATATCATGGTTAAATGGAACCTATACGCGACAGGCATTAGCATTCAAATGTGATTGTTCATTAATTTTTATTTATCTTCTGAGCTATGTTTACGAGGACATTCGTAAATCTTCTTTATTGTCATTCTGTCACAAGCCAAATACTATTGTCTCATCGTGTTCTTTTAATGTAAATAATTCCTTTCTGTCTTTCCAAACAAAAATAGTTGACCTAGTTCGTGTGTGTATCACTTTCCAATTCGTGTTCAAGAAAAAGAAACCAATATCTCATGATTTATTTTCAGATAAGCAAAATTAGGAAATATGCAATCTCGAGTTCAATACCATTTTTTGGCGAGTTATGATCATAGGAGCCGTTTGTCGTCTAGTTACACGATATATTTTTGTTTTACAGAAGGTCCAGATTTCTGATATGGATGTCAAATATACGAAAGGTAGACAAAGCGAATTGAAATAAGTGATAAAAATGCAATAATCTATTGCTTTTGGTAGTAAACCAGAAAAACCTGCGAAAAAAAGCATGTTAACGATACTAAACGGTAAAAGAGTTGCAAGACAGAGAAATGATATAGAAATGAGTTGAAAAGCCATTTTACTATGCTTTTGCCAACTAAGCGATTGTTGAAGGCGGCGCTTCGAGACAAATACACGAATTAAAAGAAAGACACTAAATATAGTAATACATATGGATGAAAGTATAAAATGCACCAACATTTCCCACCACATTAAAGTTTTGTCAAATACATAGCAAGGATGACCGCAAAGAGGACTTTGGAAATCGAATGAACGTTTGCATGGATAAAATATATTTGTATAAAGAAAATAACATATGTAATAAATGATAATAACAATAGGTGGTATATAATGCAAACATATATTTTTCCATTTTGTACGAAAAAACTGATCATGAAAAATGAGAATATGTCGTTCAAATGATGCCCATGCCACTAACATGATACACATTGACGAAATATTATGATCAAGAAATATCCAGATATAGCAAAAGACAACATTTTCAAATAGTACTCTACCTTGCTTATAAAAATATAATAACAATGGAATATCAATTGCATTACCAAGGAATTGAAGAATTAAAAGAAAAAGAAGACTATAATTATTTGGCGCTGAACGAAGAGTTTTATGAGTTAAGATATAAACGATGATGAAAACATAACAAATAAATGATGGCACATGGACTGCAAGTAAAATATTGAATCTCATCGATATAGGAATAGGTAGAACAGGAGTATTTCCTTGAGTAGGAGGGTCATTACTAATGTTTTGTTTTGGATCGAGGCGCATTTTGAAAGTTTCGGGAAGCATAGCTTATTAGGTTCAGATGTTTTGTTGATTTTAATAAACTCACAAATCTTTTACTTGTGCTGTACCTATTTTCTTAGCATCATACTGGCGCATACATCAAGCTTATATACATCTATTGAAAGATGATTCTCATCTATCAAGTAAGCATAAAAAAAGAAGCTTTGACGTCTTTAGTTTGATGATTTATTACATATTCGCCGATGATCTATCGTGCATACAGAATGTTTTCATCTTGACATATGAAAGAAAAACTTTTCAGCGTCAACTAAGTGAATTGGTATGATAGTAATTATATTTGATGTCAATGGGCAAGAATGATAAATAAACAGTTTGATGTTCTATGCAAAATTGGGCAGACACGCAAAAAAGAACCCATAGATCTTCTGCTACTATTTCATCAAACTTGTCAAGTATTGTGAAAGAAGTTTCAGTCTTATAAAGTATTGTCAGGAATATTTAGTTGGTTTCCGCAGCCTTAAGAAAACTTGAGGTTTTCGATAATACCAATTTTGATACTCTCAAAATATCGTTATGTTGCTACTACAAAATTTGATCAGTTTTTTCTAATATCTTCAAAATATTGTAGGAAACTAATATTGTCAAAACTGTTGGTTTAGTACATCAAAGAGATATTCGAAGATTCTTTTTCGGTTTAGAAAAGTAATTCATCGGAAATTAATTAAGACAATTTCTGAAGCCCTTCTGTGCTGGACTTTAAACAGAGAATCGAACCCAGCTTTCGATGTTTTTTCTCTGAATTTTAAATCTCTCAATCAATAAAAACTTAATGGAGATTAATATCATTAAAAACGAGAACACTATATTTTCTATATTGAGGTTTACACTAACAATGAATATAATAGCTCTCAGTGTGAAAAAAATTATGTAGGTTGTTTTGATATTGAAGATCTACGAATCGCACGTTTCTTAACTCAACGTTTAATCAAATATTCGAGAGCTTTCGTCTAATGTCTGTCAAAGTTCGATAAAGTTTCTGGTATTTCTTTCCTAATTTTCACTACTCACAACACTTTTATAGTTACGAAAGTTTACTGATAGTCCTAAGGAATTCTAGAAATCATAGAAAATTCTGGAATTCAGAACTCCGTTCTTTACCTCTTGAGTTTTCATCGACTATATTTAGAAGTGTTCCAGATTCACAACTACTATTCGTCTCTACCGTAGAGATGTCCATCGCGGCTGAGAAATCAAACACCGTCGTGCCGTAACGATAGAAATGGAAATTTCGTGCTTCCTTACCACAATGCCATACAAAAAAACCTTTCGAATTTCATTTTAGTGACTGCTCTGAACTAAAATTGTTGTTACTAGTCTATGACATTCATAAAGTTTAGCAATGTCCTTGAAAAAAATAAACTAGCATCCAATCGCCTCAATAAACATTTCCGCTCTGTTAACTATCATGGTTAGAATAAATAAGCGATGGTGAGTGTATTTGATTGTTGAAAACCGCGATACTATACTGAAATAAAAAACTGACAATCTCTAACCGAAAAATTTGAATAGATAGAACTATTTGTTGTCATATTCCATTTGAAAGATTTCTATGTTAATGAATCCGTGTGACGTAAATAAATTTACGCCTGTTGATCTGATGTTTTAACGGTGGAATGGTTTCTGAAAACGTTTTAATTGAACAGCACAGTTGCCAGTTCCATTATTTTTCATCGAACAAAATTAAAATCAAATGACGATTGCACGTTTATGGCGACAGTCTTCTAAGGCTTTCTATTATGTCCAAATTTTAAAATCTAACTTCAAAAATATTTGTGTCCTAAGACACTTTAAGACAAACTTTTTGTACCCGTTTGAAAAACTATTTTCCTTTCGCTTCTTGTTGATACATTCATTGTTTTTTGAAAGATTTAAATACATACTGATGTCTCATATCACTATGAATAGATTGTTATTGTGTTATTTTCTTGTGGTTAGGTTTCAGATCTGTGAAAGGAGTACTATTATTGCGACGTTGAATAATCAATGTTGAAATTAGATATTATAGTAATGAATTTGAAGATACGAAAGATAATTAGTTTTCTGGTAATTGTAAATATTCATTTTTGTATAAATCAATGAAATATATGCTTTTTGAAATAATCAAATTACTTTATCAAGAAAACGGAATTATAATAACAACAAAAGATAAATTATTGGTATTTTCAATATTTTCATTACGTTATATGATGATATTAACTCATGCCTATATTTCAACTCATGTTGCACAGTCCATATTTCTCAATTTTACTCAGCATCTATACAATATTATCATATTATTGATTACTTCGATTACTATAGAATCTCGTTTTTAGGTTAAAAATGGTTGTTTAAAGACCGAAAACTCCTAATGTTATAGTAAAATTAAAATTAAAATTAAAAAATCATGTTTCCATTGATGTACTTGATCACTGGATGTATCGTAGTTGCCGATATTTTTTAGGACTGAAGGGGTCAAAACTCGACCGAAAGGAGAACAAAATTCATCAAGATCCGATCCTTCCCACAACAGACAACTTGCCACCAAGTATTCAGAGAAAGGCAAATGTTGGTTCAAAATCTTATTTCTGTCTCAAGTTACCATGATGCTGTAAAACATTGACAAAAAATCGAATATTTTGGTAAAAAGGAAAGCTTCCTCATTCTTCCCTTATTGAGAACTCAAGGCTATATCAATATCAGTCGATTTTCATTCGTGATCTAAAAGTAGACGATCAGTTACATATTTGAAATCATATGTCGCTAGAGAATTTCAATTCAGGAAAATTTATCTAGAATGACTTGAAATTTGAATCTTAAATATTCCTGAATACATAGTGTAAACTTGATTATTTATATATTTCAAAAATACGAAAATTAAACTAGGCATTTGAACATGGTTTTATTTTTTATGAGTGACATTTAATACTAACTAGGGAACATTTCCAGGTGTCGGAGCGCTTTTAAGTCGAGATTTCGCGCATCTTATAGCTCTTAGTGGGCTGTGTCTATGGTTAAAAAAGTTCGGGTTTCTGGCTTGTTTCTGAGGAGATATCGAGCTCCTAGTGAATTTTCTCTATAGTATGCCTACATTGATAGCAAAGCTATACTTTCAAATTCTGATCTGAAACTTTGCTTGCATAAAGATCTCAGCTAGACTAGCTTTCATACAAAATTTCAAAAGTTTTGAATTAAGTCTCTCTAAGATATGAAACTACTAAGGTACAGTCTCTTTTCATAAATAATACATAGAGTATGCATTTTTTCAAAGCTTTGTATCTTGAATCGACTTAATTCAAAACTTCTGAAATTTTGTATGAAAGCTAGTCTAGCTGAGACCTTTATGCAGGCAAAGTCTCAGGTCAGAACTTGAAAGTATAGCTTTGCTATCAATGTAGGCATACTATAGAGAAAATTCACTAGGAGCTCGATGTCTCCTCAGAAACAAGCCAGAAACCCGAACTTTTTTAACCATAGACACAGCTCACTAAGAGCTATAAGATGCGCGAAATCTCGACTTAAAAGCGCTCCGACACCTGGAAATGTTCCCTAGTAAGCTGTATTTGTATCGCCAAACAACGAGATTTCTTTGTTGAACAAGTGCCATTACAATTACATGCTTTAATAGAGGTAATTAATCTCATATTCACATATGATCTGCCGGCTTGAATAGAATTCAATAGATCGAGTGTTTGACGCTGTGAGGAAACTATACCTGTTGTTGCACATAAGTGATAGGTATTCATATGATTACTAAGTAATTCATTAAAGTATTATATAGTAACCAGAGCATGATATAAGAATATAGTCTTAAGTAATGCATGTAACGTTGATTTACGTCAATGTACATTTTTATTTTATTTTGATCTTCTATCGATTTTATTGCACGTAAAAAATATTTTCATATTTCTTAGATTTTAATCTCCTCTGTGAGATATGAAAAACTATCCTACATATGATTAAAAACTAAATATTAAATCAACGATTTTCAAAACTTGTATTAGACTTGATAACTATATTCGTTTAAAAATGTTATATTAATTTAGTTTTTTATATTTCGTTCTTCTTGTCTTATTTTCATATATTTTATTTTAACAACAAAACAAAACGATTTCATATTGACTTTGTTGTCATAATTGATTGATGTTTATGAACGTGGTCGTTCTTTCTTTTCACGATATAATGCCCATAATGAAACATTGGCAACTTTAACTACTTTGAAACGAACACCCGGAATATCACCAACGGCGTGACCTTTACGACCAAAACCAGCAATTAAAACTTCATCATTTTCCTATTTAAATAAAACATAATCAAATATTCATACTAACAACAATAAACTAATTTACTTCAATGTAATTAAGACAACCATCACGTGGTACGAATGCTGTGATCTTCTTGCCATTTTTAATCAATTGAACACGAACACACTTACGAATAGCTGAATTAGGCTGTTTAGCTTCAACACCACTAAGCACAAAAGAAAAAAAAACAACGTATTGTTTGTTTTTATTTTCTCAATAAACAATAAAAAAAAGTAACATACACTTTTTCGAGAACAATGCCTTTAGCATGTGAAGCACCAGCAAATGGATTACTTTTCCATCGTGTACCCAAATGTGATTTTTTATAATCTTTATCATGCCATCGTTGTTCACGTCGATGATCTTTTAGTTTACGAGCTGTACGAAGACCACGAGGTTTACCTATTTTAAATAAATATATTAGATAATCAACATTTAAAAAACAAAACTAATTTACCCATTTTATTGATATGATGACAATAAAACTAGTTGTTATCTAAGAACAAAAAAAACACATACACACACAAAATTGAAAAGAAATTCATATTCGATTAATAAAAATTTAAAATTTCGAAAGTAAATTTTGTTGTATGCGTCTTCGTTCGTCGTCTTCTTATGTTTATTTACAACATAAATAAAAGCAAGCAATCAAAAGAATCTTATCGTACTTGAATTGGAGGCACATATAGATGTCACTTGATTAATATATAAACAAAAAAAGTTGATTAGTTGAATGTTTCTATCAAAAAGAAGATTTTCTATATTAGAAACTTGTTTTTTTTTTACTATAAGAAAAAGTATTTCAGATTAAAACTTCTGTTCTTTTTTTGCTTTTACAAATAAACTTCATTTTTTTTTTTATAGGGTTTCATGCTGAGTAATATATGGCAGTCGCTTCTGTACATAACAATTTTTTTTTCTTCTTTCTTTCTTCGTTTTTCTTCTTTTTTTTTTTTTTTTTACGACAAAAAGCAACCCCAAAGTGTAAACACTCACAATAACGACATTTAAATCTATGACCCTATAAAGTTTGAAATTTTTAGATGGAGACATTTTTTCTTTTATATGTATCTTAAACTAATTTTCATTTTTATGATATGATCGATGTATGAATTAATATTGAATTTATTAACATATTAAAAATTTTCATTTGTTCAACATGTTACCAATAAGTCAAACACCACCATTATCAATACAACGAACATTAATACCAATTAATATTGAAACATTAGCGGGTACATCATTTGAACTACTTGTTTCACCATATGAACAAATACAATCTATAAAACGTAAAATTGAACGACGAGAAGGTATACCTATACCACATCAACATTTAATATGGAAATCAAATGAACTTGATGATGAATCATGTTTAAATGATTATAATATTGAAGCTGGTACAACAATAAAACTTGTTTTAGCTATGCGTGGTGGACCTGTTAATACAAAACGTGTACCAATTGAAGATAGTTTTATAAGAGATATGTCAGAATATATTGAAAGTAGTCAAGATGATTATGGTATTGGAAGTGATTTATTACCATCATCAAATAAAAATGTTACATTTCTTGTTTTACGTGATGGTGATCAATTTAATTTTTTTCAAGTTATTGATAGAGGTGATGGTACTCTCTCACCTTTATCTGGTTCTATGAGGTAATTTATTACAATGAAATAAAGAAAAATAAAAATCTTATAAGTATGATTTGGTTACGCTTTTCTTTGTTTTTTTTTTGTTTAGTGCTGCATCAATGTATAATACACATGAAACAATAACTGTTGAAACTGAACGACAATATGATGAAAAACGACAAGCTGATGATCGTAAAACAAAACAAAAAATGGAATTAATTCGATCAAAATTAAAAACACATTCTAGAAAAGTAAAAAAAAAACATTTTCTAATCATGTTTTATAAAATGATGTTTATATCAGACAAAATCCGTTTTCTTTTTTTTTTTTAAAACAATTGCTAACATAAACTTACGAACTAAAAATGTATATTAAGCATATTATTTTTAAATTTCATATGTAAAATACGATCTGGAAATATGAATTAAGACTTTAGTCTTAAAATTGATTTTAACATTAGAAACATTCATATTGCATAAAATTTTCAACTTGATATCATGATCACTTTTAGGAGATATTCAACAAGAAAGGGTCAAAACTAGCGTCTTTATGAACCCGAAATTCTCTGTGGAATTTCACTTTATATATATATATTATTTTTCTTTTGTTTGAAAGAGCATATCAGACTGTAGGGCATGGCGGTTCTTTACTTTTTAAATTCTTACTTTTTGTTGGAGGTTAAGAGTAGCAAGCGCAGTACTGATAAACATTAGCATTTTATAATCATTTGTGTGAGTATTTATGATATCGTATTTTTTATCCTTCGTTACTAATAAAAATATAAAAATTGAAATAATAAAAAAGAAGGACTCTATGAAGCCTTTAAGTCTCACAAGCTCTTTCAACCAAATGAAAGTTAAATATCATAACTGAATATTTCATTCTATTTGAATGTTCTTAGATTTTTTTTGAAAAGTTAGCCTTAAAATAGATAATTGAACGATAAAAAAACAAATTCAAAGTTTTATAAAATATAGAGTGTATCAAAAAATTATTATGATAAAAAAAAAGTTCGTGAATATCTTTTCATCCTATTGAATCATCTTATATTAGTTCAGATTTAATATTTTAAAAGGATTTTTCTTGAAGTAATTATCCTATATATTATCTGATAAATGTTTGTGCTTGTAAAATATCAGAATACAAATAGTTTTATTCATTGTCAAATTTAGATTATTTTGCATTATGAAACAAAAAATGCAAGTCAAATGTAACATAAAAATGTTAGACATACACTGTAGTAGGGATACTTTTAAACACTTGTGAAAATATTACAGCAGCAAATCGAAAAAGGTTTTGAAGACCTTGAAAAATAAAAGAAGAAAACAATCGACAAAATTTATTACGCTTTTAAAAGTAAGCCAGTATCGAGTGTTTTAGCTGTTGCAACAGTCTTTTTCTTTTATTTCATCAACACTACTATACCAATTTATGATTGAATACCTTCAAATGAATTGATACAAGGTCTAAATTGTTCAATGACTGTACGAAAAAGGTTTCCTAAAGAAAAACTAGTTGAAATTATAAAACTTTGATAGTAAGCTTAGAGACACCAATAATGAAGAGAATTTATGTATGTGTTTTCTCAGACAAAACTACTGTGTAAGAAATATAAATTAAAAATCAATGTTTATAAGACATGTATAAAGATCGACTTGAAATTAAAATGAAAACCAATAATAGACATAAATTAATCCGAAAATAAACTTGTTTTAGTTGTTTTTCTCCAAATATTTCGACTAGAATGGATTTTCTTATATCATATGATTGTTATCGTTCGGAATATTTGTTAGAAATCATATTGTATGAAATAAAAACTCTACAGAACATACTATAATAATAATAAAAAAAAAACAAAATCAATGTCAATCATTTGAATGTTCTTTTGAATTTTGAACTAAAAAAAAAATTCATTAAATTATTTTTCTTTTCAAGGATATTCTTCTTCCACCTCGACCGCCATCATCATCAAAAAAAACAAAATCAAATTTTATTCATCATCACAATCATCATCCTCGTCGTAGTATACATGTTGAAACAAATTCTAATTTAAGTACTAATGGTGATAATTCTTCAGGTACATCATCATTAGAACAACAACATCGATCATTATCATATTCATTTCCTGCTAATTTTTTTAATACATATAATTTATTATCATCAACAGCAACAACATCTATTAATCGAAATGATCTATTACATGAAGAAGATAGTGAAGATGATGATGATAGTCATGATGATGATGATAATGATGATGATGATGATGATGATGATGAACAAAAACCATCATTACAACAACAAACTTTTACGTCAAGATCATTTTCACCATCAGTTTTTTATTCTAAAAAACGTAATCATCATCAACATAATACAACAAAAAAATTACTTAGTCAAGAAACAGCAACAACAACAACAACCACAACAACATCAGCTAATGATACAAGTAGTAATGCTGTTCTCGTTGATTATATGCATCGTATATCACCAACATTACCTATTGTATCAACATCATCACGTGTATTATCAGCAACAAAACATCATAATACATCTGATGAACCAATAAATACAACTGATAAAACTCATAAAACAAATGATATTTTATGTCAACATTCACGTACATCACCAATGCTTGAATTAAATGATGATGAAATTATTTCACCAACAAATATAAATCGTAAACAAACAGCTGATATACAAAGTCGAAATGATACATCATTAAGTAAACCAATATGGACAGATGATGATGAACAAATAAATGTCTCCGATGAATATAATACAGTTGGTGAACGTACATCAACAAGTCAATCAATATTATTTCGTCATCAAAATAGTTCAACAAGTACAACAGCACTTACACCAATATCAACATTACCTCATGTTAATAAAAAATCTTCATTACCATCAACAACACAACAATTTTATCATCATCATAAATCTATAACTAATGAACAACAACAACAACAACAAATTAAACAATCACCAAGATCATTAATACCATTAACAGTATCAAAACATCGACGTATACCAACGAACGTACATTTCACAACATCAACACAACAACAAATATTTAGTAATTCTACTAATGATTTAATACAAAATGGAAATACTAGTAGTGGAATTAACAATAATAATAATAATAATAGTACAGATACTTTTAACGAACATTTAATGCTCAATAAACGAATTGAAATATTAAAAACACCTGGTAAACAACAATCACCACAATCAACTGCTCCATCTCCATCATCATCATTAAATACAATTTTTCCGTCAGCATCAGCAGTACCATCTCCTTCAAAACGTAATTTTCAACAAAAAGATATTAAACCTGTTAGTACGACAACTACTGTACCACCAACGTCTTCATCTCATTTACCAATAGATAGTACAAAAGTAACTATAGGTAAATAGAATAGATCTATCGAAAGAGGAAAACTTTGCTAAATGATAAATCGATTTTGTAATAAACCTTATGTCATCAAATAATTACTATTAGAATAAGATTCATTTCAAAAGTTTGACAAATTTCTTATATATATCTTTCTAGAAACAATTGGTCCTAAAACAGTCTCAGCACTTCTACGACAAAATGCAACAATTGAACCAGTTGATACATCACGAGGTGTTGGTAAACATCTTGTTTCACTTCTAACCACTGCATCAAAAGAAACAGCATCAATTAAAACTGGTAAAATTTTATTTATTCTTTTTTCGTCTTTGGTTAAATTACTTTTTTTTTTTTATCAATAGGGTATAAACAATCAACTCGTGATGCAATTATTGAAGAACGTTATAGAGTAATATTAACAATTGAATCATATAAAACATTTTGTTTAGTCTTTTCTTTTTTTTTTTAATATCTAAATAGTTGGATTCAAAATTAAGTAATCCATGGTCGAACACAACAAATAATAATCTTTTAACAGCAAACAGTAATATTCAATCTAATACAACAATGATTTACAATTCAAATAAATTACCACCAGTTATTGTCAATCGTAAACCAACATCGAAATGTTTTCTTTGTAAAAAGAAAACTGGATTAGCTACAACATATCAATGCAGGTATAAATAAAAAAATAACTAATTGTTTGCTTTTTCTTTAAACTTACACTAATTTCATTTTAGATGTGGAAGTTCATTTTGTAGTGAACATCGATATCCTGAAGCACACGCATGTGCATTTGATTATAAAGCTGAAGGAAAACGCTTGATTGAACGTAATAATCCATTGATAACTGCCCCAAAATTACCCAAGATCTGATGAATAAAGTCGTTCTTATTTTTATATTTACTGATACAAATATCTATCTCTCCGTCACTTTGTTTTTTTTTTGCATATACATGGCATATATACAACATTGATTTTTTTTTTCTACAATTAACCGTTTGTTTGTGTGTGTATCTTTTTTCCCCTCTCTGTTACTCAATTCGAGCTTGTGCTTCGTTTCCCCTTTTTTTGTGTATCTATTCAACGTAAAAACATACTTAGCTCATTTCTCTTTCTTTTCTCATCAACAAAGGATCGCGCGCGAATGAATCGCGAGAACAGTAGAATACTCCTCATGCTGAATAGTCTCGCTCGAGGATAAAAGTACATTTACACATATTTTTGTATAAAATCTGACATCATATGAATTCTCACCAAATGCATTTGTCGGTTTCTTATTTTCTCTTCCGGTTTTGTTTTGTTTTTTTTTTGTTTTGTTTTTCTAGCAGCGCATTCTTCTTTTTTTTTTCTCTCGTCTCTGTCTTTTGTGCTTGCTAGTGATATTGACTACACCAAATATTGACTCATTTATATTATATGCGCACAAATACACTTTGTACAATGATAACATATATATATATATATAATATCTAGAGAAAAGAAAGACAAATAATGCGTAAAAAAAGATATTAAATAAAATTTATGGCTTCTTTCTTTTTTTACAAATTGATAAATTTTGGCGTTTGTTTTTTCTTTTATACGAGGATTACGTATGATATATTTTAGATTGAGATAATGCTACGAGAATCGTTCAACTAAAACGACTTGGTAGGTAATTCGTTGTTGTAATTGAGTTTTGTGTTTTTAATTATACAGATAGAAATGAGAAGTGCTGTTTTTTTTTTGTCGATTAATTTCGGTCTGAGAAGGGATTATTGTAGGAAAATTTAAGGTTCTTTAAAAGAAAATATTTAAAACTCTCTAGGGAAATTAATGACAAGACTGTTCATTCTAATATAATCTTATAATTTGTATATAGAAATAATAGTCACATAGCTTAGAATCATGTTTCATGAATAATTGAATGCAACACGAACAGATCTGGTTTTTTTTTAATTTTTATAATCTTTTTTTTTTGCATTATATAATCTTAAGTATGTTAGTTGGTTTTTTTTGTATAGAAAGAAAAACAAATTTTAGAAAATTTTGTTTTCTGAAATATTTTGTATTTTATTTGAGAATAATAAACTGTTTTGAAAATATTTTCTTCAAATGATTTATAAATATTTCTGTTAACATGTTTTACAACATTTATTTTATTAAAGTATGTAAGAAATTCAAGGTATGGTATTTAAAACATTTAGTTAATGTCTCTCTTTCGTATTTAAAATTTAAAATTTTTTAAAAATAATTTAATACATAGAATGAAAATGTGCAGTTGTATCATAGTATTGTGTTCATTAAAATCTGAAAAAGCAATTAAGTTGGAACGATTCTTTGAAAATAAATGAAACCAATGGAAAAATTCTTTTTAATCATTACTTTATAGACATGCTATTTAATCATTTCATAAAAAGTTATATTAAATTTATTTTAAAAAATTTCATATCCTTCTTTATTTAAGTTTCTCTCAAGACTTACTTTAGGCAAGAGAAATTCAAATCGTATGAGATTTTCGACTTGATATCATAATGCCTTCTTGACACATTCATTAATGAAAGATTAAAAGAAATGAATTTGCCAAGCCAAAATTCTCTGTAGAGTATTATTAATTATAATTTTATTTTTCCTTGAAAGAGCATGTCAGACTGCAGTGCCTGACAAAGTTTTTTTCCAAAATGATTACTTCCCCATTGGAGGCTAATAGCGACAAGTTAGGTGCTACCAAAATATCTAAACAAATTGACATTTTTTTTAATCATATCATGCGAGGACTTTACAGAACTGGATTTGTCCCTGTTAGCCTTCAACAAAAAAAAATGAGTATGTCAAGGCGCAGGGCTTCACATGCTCTTTCAATTGAAAAATAAAACATGCAAAATGACGATCTATCGAGTATTTCGGATTTCGAAATTAGGTATTTTCGGCTCTTGTCTGATGGATATTTTATACAAAAATGATGATATCGAACTGAAAATTTCATGGGATACAGGTGTTCCTGGTTCAGCATCGATGTTAAAAGAGATGAGAAAGCTTAATAACTTCATTGATAATCAATATAATTTTGGACATTGAAAAACTCATAAAGACATATCGAATCGATGAAAGATTTTTCTTAAAGATTCTTCTATAAGTAAAACGAAATTAAAAAATCACGAACATTAAAAAGAGTACGTATTGACTAAATAAGCAATATTAAAACTAGAATAACAAACTAAATCGGAAACCATTTCAGGTATCAAATCGCTTATAAACCGAGATAATATTCATTTGATGAGTAATACAAAACTCTAGTATGCATTATTTTTCCATATCTTCATTTTTGGCATATCGAAGTTTTATTGAGTTTTTCATCTCGTTCAGATCACATGAAAAATCGACTTTCAACTTCAAACTTTGCATAAACAAAATTTTAAATGAGATTAGTTTATCGAATAAGGAAGAAAAACCCAATAAAATCTGAAAAGCGATGGTCCAGAAAGCCAATTTTCACGAATGATTATTTATTTCTAACAAATACTAAAATTGAAAAATAAATATAATTTAATACAATATAAATATAGAATAACTATGATATTTAATAAAATAGTTCAACAACAAGATGTTCTTAAAATAGTGAATGCTTTTCATATAGAAATGTAATATAATTATATATGATTTACTGTTAAAGGACAAAAAAAAATCCAGAAAATTTAATTGACATGTAATAGAGAAACTCTTTCACAAAGCTTTAAAATTAGTTTTCTAAAAATATCGACATCACTTCATCTTTTTCTCATTAAAAGTCAAAAGTCTAACGTCGCAAAATAACTCACTATGAGTGTTTTTCTTAACAGAATTTAACTTTTTTCTTTGTCTATTAAAGAACTTATTTCTTTCTTTCTGGTCAATGATGCAAAGCTTTCAAAAACAATTATTTTTCTATTACTCAAAATAGATTTCAGTCAATATGTGACATATCTTATGTTAGGTAAATAAATAGATATTCTTATAAATCGGCATAGAAAATATTATCATTTGTAAAACTTTGAGTATCACAATGTGCAGATTGATTGACAACATATAAATGACATTGACAAGCGTGTTAATTTAATTTTTATTAATTGTCAAAAAAATACACATAGTATTATCGGAAGTCTAAGAAATGCTAAATAAGTATCAGAAAATCTTTTAAATATTGACCGATGATGATTAGATATAAATATCGAAAAAAAAAAATTTTTTTTTTCTTCCCTTTAATCATAGCTATTCATTTAATATTAATCGAATTGATCGGTTTCTTATATATTAGTCGAAAATTAAATTTAAATCCTATCCTTAATCGAACATTCCTTAATGTAATAAGCGATCATTTCATATTATTCTTGCTTTTGTCAGACTGTATGAACTACTGGATGTAAGATTGAATCATAGTTTTTGCATTTTTGCAATAATATATTATTCGAGATGTTTGAATAAGGATTACTAATCATGCAATAAGTTTTAATAAGATTTATTCAATGAAAATTTTTTATTGGTTTCTCAGTAAATAGTTATTCGAGAAATTGAAATAAAGAAACAGAAATATTCAATATAATTATGTTAAAACAGTACCCATACGAAGGTCACCAATGTTTTTCTCAATGGTAGAGCTAAGGAGAGCCAGCACCGATCGGCTTCCCTCCTAGCAAGAGTTTTGAAAAATATATTTTCTCTTCAAAATTCTTGAGAAGAGTTGGGTTGTTCTTCTCGCTTAACTCAAAATTCTGGCTGCAATACGGATTTTTCCTTCCATAAAATAGTCCTGTTTCGTTATGTATGACACACATATCTGTATATGGTTCGATAACAAGAAAAAGCTTCTTTGAAGATTATTGAATAATGAATACATTAATAATTTATAACAATAATTGACATGTGAAGATTTCTGTTTCTTTCTTGTGAAATCATCTCTATGTACATTTTATCCTTTTCTTTTCTCGAATAACTTAGTAAAAAGAAACGGTTCGTTAAGGGCAAATTATGTAAAATAAGGATAGCTAAATGGTAAAACAAGCTTCCGGCAAAACGACGAAGTTGCAGGAAGTGTAATCTTAAAAAAAAAGCGCAGTAAATCGATCATTCAGCTAACAAATAAATGTCTTTTTTTTTTCTATATGAAAAAAAACCTTGCCTAGGGAATCGATCATACGAGTAATTTCTAGATCATACCAGAGAAAAGCAATTAAGAGCTTTCTAGTTTTCCATTTTTAGATTTCATAATGAAATTTCCCCCGATATTTATGTGAATTCATTCAATGTGATAGAGGATATTTTCGTATTATTCAAATATCAACAAACCAAACAAACTTGTCTCTCAACGATAGTTGCTGAAGATCTGTTTATAAAAGATAATTTTCTTTCGTTAAGCATCAAAACTAGATATTTGATTAGTCATAGATGAATCAGAGAGCCAACTCATAAGATAAAATATTTCTATACGTGGCTGCCTTGTCAGCAATAAACGTTATTATGGAATGCATACTTAGCTCAATGATACGATGACAATGTTGTATATAAATACTTCGGATAATTGCTATTTTCTATTGTTTTCAAATCTTCATATTCAATATTATTGTCCTTATCTTATTCATAATATTCAAACGGTAAAATTTTTTGTGTTGTTTTCTTTTTATGATATTTTGATTAGTATGTTTGTTAGCATATTTAATCCTTCAACTGTATTCGGTTTGAAAAAAAGAACTAAAACCAAGAAAAAAAAAGGATGATTACTAAGCTTTGATGCTCTTTACGGAGAGTGGAGTCACATTGATTTTCTTTTTTTCTCTTGCTCTCTTACTCTCTCTCAATGATCTTCCTTTTCGCCGACTTTGTCACGCAGTCTTCCTCTTCCGAGACGTGATCATGAGCATTGTCGCTATTTTTTTCCTCATTCTACAATATTTTGTTCATCTCAACCAAAATAACAACAGTATAAAACAGTCAGACTATCATAAACTACAAGTTTTTTCTTTTTCTGAAGATAATAATAGTATGCCTCTAAGTAAACATTTTATATATACTTTTATATGAATGAGATAAAAAGAAATGCAAGAGATTATTTGTTCTTTTCTTTCTCATTTCCATATTTCATAAATGATAAATCCTTGTATAGAAGAATAGGACTATTGATAAAACATCATTATTCAATTACTTTTTTAGTTTTATCTTTTGTTTTTATTTTAGATAAAATGTCTTCTCCATTAATACAACTAGTAGCTACAAAATGTCCAACTGATGAACTTTCTTTTACTAATTGTGCTGTGATTAATGAGAAAGATATTGATCCAAAACGTGTTCGGTAATTATTTTTTAAATTTTTATATGAAATTTTATTTTTTTGTCTTTTTCCAGACATATTGAATTATCATCAAGTATAACAAATACAAAATTTGTTTTTACAACAATTAAATATGCATCAATGTCACAGGGTAAAATTGGTTTTAATACATTACAAGTAAGAATTTTTTCAAGTATATATACTATTAAATATTTTATCTTTTTAATATTCAGCGACGATGGGCTGGTATTGAACTTGATCGACCATATCAAATTCGTCCATATATGTTTGATAAAAATGTTCAATCAATTGCAACACTTGTACTTGAAGTTGATTTTTTGAATAGAAAAAGGTAAAAACAAAAACTGATTTTATTTACTTCATTTGGTTTGTTTCGTTATTATTTTATTTTAAGTACAACAACAGATCCATATGATACAGATAAAATGGCAATAGAATTTTTACAACAATATATTGATCATGCATTTTCAATCGGACAATCTGTACATATAAGAAATAATTGAATATTGATGAAAAAAAAAAAGTATACCTTTGTGTTTTTTTTTTCAGTTACCATTTCAATTTATGGATAAAAAAACTTTATTAGTAGCCGTTAAAGAAATTGAAGGTATACAAAAAAAAAACTAAATTCATAATTTTTTAAAATTCTTTTTTCAACTTTTTTTTTTTTTCTAACTAACAGCTGTTGATTTGTCTGCTGTTGCTCGAGGACAAAGTTCAAAAGCTCGAACAATTCCACTTGGAGTTTCACTTGCAAATACAATGGTTGTATTTGAACGAGCTGAAGGTTCATCAATAAATTTAGCTGGAAAATCGAAAGGGTAAATGAAATAAATAGATCATAGATTTAATTAATTAATTTAAAATATATAGAAAATCACAATTTGTTTCAATAATTAATCCAGATTTTGACTTTAAAACAATGGGTATTGGTGGTCTTGATGCAGAATTCAATGCAATATTTCGTCGTGCTTTTGCTTCACGAGTTTTTCCACCTGAAATTGTTTATCAATTAGGTAAAATTTTTATTGTATATTTTACAAGAAAATTAAATTCGCATTGATTAGGAATGAAACATTGTCGAGGCATCTTGTTATATGGTCCTCCCGGTACAGGAAAGACATTGATGGCTCGGTATAAAATATTTGTTTTAATTAATACTTGAATGAGAGTTTCGGCTTTTTTTTGTTTCTTTCAGACAAATTGGTAAAATGCTCAATGCTCGAGAACCAAAAATTGTTAATGGACCACAAATTCTTGATAAATATGTTGGAGAATCAGAAGCAAATGTTCGAAAATTATTTGCTGAAGCTGACGACGAAGAAAAAAGAGTAAGATAATCTGATTGAAAATCTTTATTTTCACTATTTTACGAATTTATAATGTTGTTCTCTTGAATTTGTGTAGTATAAAGTATTCTTGAGAGTAAAATTCATATTATTTATAAAGTTAAAATAAGAAATGCACGAAAAAAAAATAGAAAATATTAAATCAATTGTAAAATTTTGAATCAATATTTAATATAAACTTATTTTCTAGCTTGGACCCAATAGTGGTTTACATATAATTATCTTCGATGAAATCGATGCTATTTGTAAAGCTCGTGGTTCAGTGGTTAGTAAAATGAAAAGTTTTTTTTTTTTATTTCTAAAATAATAAAAATTTGATTTATATAGGCAAGTGGTGCTGGTGTTCATGATACAGTAGTTAATCAATTATTATCAAAAATAGATGGTGTTGATCAATTAAATAATATTCTTGTTATTGGTATGACAAATCGTCGTGATATGATTGATGAAGCACTTTTAAGACCTGGTCGACTTGAAGTACAAATTGAAATTGGTTTACCAGATGAAAATGGTCGATTACAAATATTAAATATTCATACATCTCGTTTACGTGAACATAATAAATTACATTCGGATGTTGATTTAAAAGAATTTAGTGAATTAACAAGAAATTTTAGTGGAGCTGAAATAGAAGGTTTAGTTCGAGCTGCAATGTCATTTGCAATGAATAGACATATTAAAGTAATTTTTTTTCTCTTAAAGAAAATCATTTAATGGTACTTTTTACTTTGTTTTATTAGGCTGGTAAACGTGTAGAAATCGATCCGGACGCAGCAGATAAATTACAAGTTTGTCGAGCAGATTTTATGCATGCTTTTGAAAATGATGTTAAACCGGTATGAACAAGAAAAATCATTGTTTTTTTTAATTCGAAAATGTTTGCTTTTTTTTTTTTGCTTTAAGGCATTTGGTGTTAGTAAAGAAGAATTTGATTCATATATATCGAATGGTATTATTATTTGGGGACAATCAGTAACTGATGTTCTTGAAGAAGGACAATTACGTATACGACAGACAGTTAAAAGTGAAATGACACCACTTGTATCGATTTTAATTGAAGGTATATTTAAAATTTCCAAGGAAACGACATTTTTTCATCGGAAGTTTGTTTAGAAAATTTCCGGTGTATGAGGAAAGTCCCACGAGTAATTAATTATTCTTGAGTTGAGACTATGTCCATTATGTATACTCTAATGAGTTATGATTATTATAAAAAGAAAAGTGCAAATTTTTAGCTTATTGCTTGTTCAAGAATAGTTTATCATTAAAGGTTCAGATCTTTTAATTGTTCCTATCCTAAGATACAGTTATGATAAGAGTTTACCGTTTATGACTCATTCTCAAAAGAGATACAATTTTCTTATGGAAAAAATTAATAAATATAACAAACAGAGATGTATAAGAGAATTTTATAATGATATACCTTCTTTTAATAAATATTCACCTACTTACTTATTATTCATATCTCTAGGTGGGTAGCTATTTAATTTCAAACATTATTGAAATATTGTCAACACTATTCAATAAATATTTGTAGCTATTAAATAAACAATCAGCTATTCATTTTTTATTAATTTTTCTGTACGAATAGCTATTTTATTCCAAGCATTATTTAAATATTCTCAACGTTATTTAATAGATACTTAGCTACTTATTCATTCTAGCTGATTTGTTTCGAGTAAGCAGCGCCAAAAATGAAAATCCCTCGATGAACAACTATTCAATTTCGAGCACTATTTAATAAATATTCATAGCTAGTTAAGTATTCACTTTGCTATTTCTTTATTGTGATTGCTTTTTTCTTGAGCGAAGAATGAAAAGACTGAATAAATAATAAAAGAGAATATCATCGAATTGTTCTCTTCGTTGAGTTGAGTATTGCTGAAATCGAATATTAAATGTTTAGATCGAGTCCGAATAAGATAAATTTAGAGATATTGCTAAAATGATACTTTATAATTAGAATTACATAATATGAAATGAGAATGTCAAAAGAAAAGCAATATAAATAAATAAATAAATGTTATATGCAGCATAAATTTGCTGTAATTTTATTTTTTAATTATTATGATTCGTCTTGAAATGTAGTGTAAAGTAAGAAAATTTACGAGGGAGAGATTAGATTAAAACGTAACGAAAAATTTAAGAGATATTTAATGCCAATAAAATAAAGGGTTCGTCATTACAAGAATTTTATATGTATACTATGAAAAAAACAAGATCGGCAACATGGTATATAGAATATATAAGCGATAAAAAAAGGAAGTGAATAGAAATCATCGCACAAGCGCAAATCAGATATTTCTATCGTTTAAAATCCTTATATTTTTATAATTATCAAATATTTCGAGTAACTATTTTAATATCGCTTGGTCTAAATAGCTGATAAAATGATGAACATCGATAAACCAAATAATATTACAAAGGAAGCATCTATTGACATGATTGAATAGTTATTTACTTGTTTTTGATTAGCTATCAAATCCATTTAAATAACTAAAACAATGTTTAAATAGCGCTATATACTATTTTATAGAGTATCTCTTTTGAGAAGCTACAATCTTTTTACATCACTTATGTATATAGGCAGATTTTACGTTCTCATTGCAGAATAGGAATACATTAATATACCTGATACTTTTAGAATAAACTATTCTTGTTAAAGTCTGTCAGTGTCCATAATTTCAAGTCTAAATTGGAAGATTTGTTTTTCTGATGCTCCTGAAGGAGACTAAACCATTCTGCTAACAAAACCCGTAGAAATGTAGCATCTTCGCAGTGATACACTCAAGATTTGAACTATTTTCAAGCTAGTCATAGTCTACTACAGTCTACATCATGCATGTAGTCTCAATTCAAAATCAATCAATCGGTTGAAGGACGTCTCATGTTAATTATAACTTTCTATTCATAGTTCAAACTATGTGTCAATAACAATAATGAAAACTTAAAAAAGACCGAATAATGTTAACTATGAGAATCAGCAAATATATAAATTCCAATAGACTATCACAAGTGACGAATATTTCAGACGAGAATAAAAAAGTAATCTGTAAATCATAATTTCACTCCAATCAAATCTTCGGCGAGTATTTCCTACGAGCTCAAGTTTCAGAAACTTCAATGAATCATACGATTGGGTCATATAGGCAAAATCCTAGCTTGAAGTTCTACTATAACAAATAATCATAATTGCGAAAAAACAGAAATAGTTTTGTGTTGAATTATTACTCAAGATTCCACAAGAATGTTAAGATCATAAGGCAAATGATAAATTGAAGATGAAAATTGACTTTCTTTTATCACTGAACATCTAGATAATTCAAAAGTCTATTATCATCAGAGAATCCTTATGGAGTCGTCGGATGTTAAAAATAGATAATAGATTTGAAACCGCTGTTTCCTAATCATTGAAGCATTTATAATCTCATCCTAACTTGAAAAGGTTATTTTAGATTTTTCTTAATTATTCTACTCTTTAAAAATATAACTTATTTTTGTTTTTTTTTCTTAGGTCCACCAAATAGTGGCAAAACAGCATTAGCTGCTCATATTGCACTTCTATCAAAATTTCCATATTTAAAATTTTGTACAGCACAAACAATGCTTGGTTTTTCTGAACTAGCTAAATGTCAACAATTAAAAAAAATTTTTGAAGATGCACATAAATCAAGTTTATCATGTAAATAAAACGACAAAGAAAAAAAAAGTTTTTAATTATCATATACATATACATATATATGTATGTTTTGTGTCATTAAATAGGTGTTGTTGTTGATGAGTTAGAAACTTTACTTGAATATGCACCTGTTGGTCCACGTTATTCAAATAATGTTTTACAAACATTAAAATTATTATTTAAACGTTCACCACCAAAAGGTCGAAAATTATTAATTATTGCTACAACAACATATCGTGATATTCTTGATCAACTTGGTTTATTAGCATCATTTTCAAAAATAGTTCATATAGCAAATATGAGTAGTGGTCAACATATTCTTCATGTTTTAAATGAAATTGAACATTGTTTTAATGATGATGAAATGAGATATTTAGAAAAAAAATTACATGACAAAAAGTAAAGATTTTATTTTTGTTTTCATTTTCTTTTTTTCTATATGTTCGAGATTTTGTTTTTATTTATAGAGTATGCATTGGTATTAAAGCATTACTTGATTTGATTGAAGTTGCAAGACAAGCAGATGATAAGTCACGTGTTGGACGTTTTCTCAGTCAATTGGAAGAAGTCGCTGGAATGATTTAAATATAAATATTTCCGTTGTAATGAACGTCTATGCATTTTAAAAAATAAACATATGCAAAATGTTTATTTTTTTTTTCCTCTTTTTTTTTCTCATTCTTATCTGTTACCTTTATCAGTGTCGTTTGTTCGTGCAATAAGAACTATTTTTCTTGATATTTATTTTATGATGATGTTTTTAGCTGTGTATATTAATTTGATGTCTTCTTTTTTTTTTCGTCGTCGTGGAACATACCTTTGTTTTTCCAGAGAATGATCAAAGATATATATATATACATATATGAAATTTCTAGTCAAATGATTTGTTTTTTTTTTTATTGTGATTTATAAATGTGTACATGTCATTGAGTTTATTACTTATATGAAAAACTCAATTTTATTTTTGTAAGATTTTAATTAGTCTAGCATTCCTAGTCATCGAATACATTCAATAGAAAACATCGACAAGAAAAAAAAATTGATTTATTCCTATCGCATAATGATTTCTAGTCCTACTATCATTTGCTATTTTTTTTTGCAATACGTTTACGTCATATTTCTATGTTTCTTTTTTGTTTGTCTTTAAATATAACTTCTCTCTTGTCTAGGTAGATGATTTTATCCATCAATGTGTCTATTGAGCTAGTTTCAAATAGTTCTCTTCTAGATTATTCTTTTTTTCTTCGTTAAGAATGGAAAAATTTGGTATTGCTATTATTGTATTTACTGTCTTTTGGAGTTTAATTGGAATTGTTTTACCATTTTTTATTCCCAAAGGACCTAATAAACGGTAAAATTTTTCATATATTAAGTACTCTTGTTTTTCAACTAAAATATTCTTTTAGTCTTATTCAAATTATGCTAGTGTTAACATCGGCTTGCTGTTATCTATTGTATGTTAAATAATGTTTCTTTTTCTTTTGGATAAAAAAGACAAATCTATTATTATTCTTTTATTCTAGTTGGTTATGCTTTTATCTTCATCAATGGAAACCATTGTTCGGACCACAACTTTCAAGTACTGATGCTCGAATTTTACGTTCTCTTTGGGGCAGAGAATTTTAAACAAATTGGATTCATATTCGAATACATCTTTTTTTTGTCCACTTTCTTTTTTTTTTTATTGTATTGAAGTTCTTGTGAAAATAAATACATCTATTCGGATATATCTTATCATATGACGGTGAATCAGGATAGTACAAACCTCCATTTCTCTTTACCCTTCGCCCCTCTTCGATATTTTTCTTTTTTTCTTATATTCTTTGTGTTCGTCATCGTTGTCGTCTTCGTCGTCGTTTCACTATGGATGCGTATACGTTTCCCTTGATGTCCATATGCTTGTCGAAGACGTATTTCTGTTTTGCACTCATTCTTTGGTATATGATTATTAATATGTGGAAAAACAACAGACAAGAAGAAGAAAAATCTAATGATAATAATCAATTAAACGAATCAATTTTAGTTTATTTTTTTCAGATTTATTTGTTTATAATTTGTAAAAATTCAAAGATGAATGCTAATATTAGTGGACCCAAAGTTGTCACTTTTGCTCTATCACAAGAACATGGTATTGCAGCTGGTGTAGCAGTATCATCATGGTTCGTTTTACAATATATGGGTGTTAATGTCATGAAAGCTCGTAAACGGTATATTTTAGAGTGTTTCTAGTTTTGAAAATTCATTTTAATTTTTGTCAACATAGTTTTCATTCTGTTCGGATTTAGTTTCTGATATTGAATTATAGATTGAAAAATTTTTCAATGAAAACGAATAAATCATATAGCGAATAGTTATATGTAATAAGTTTAAAGTTAATATTATTGGTAAAATAGGATAATTTCTACAAATTAAGAAGTGATTTTTGCATTTATATGTGTCAAAATAAGTTCAGTATCAGATACAAAAAGGAAAGTGGACAATCATATCTTCAAACTATTTTTATATATTCGATTGATTAATAAGTTTTAGATAACTATAATAGATTAATCTACTAAACGAGTAATCGGATTTAGACAAAAAAATCTCTAAAAATAAATTATTATTTCAAGAATATAATGTCAACTGAGATTATTGTATACTAGAAGATTAATTTTCATACTTCATATTATTTCTATAAAATAAATATTGTTAGGATCAATGATTATTTAAAAATCTTCGTATTAATTTTTTATTCAAACTTTTATTCATATCCATCAATTCAGCTAAAAATTTGAACTTCAAAGAACTCATATTAGACATCATGATGATTGTTTTCATTATGTATACATTTTTTCTCATTTGTTAAAAGTATTCCTTGGACAAAGTTCGTACAAATAAATTATTCTCATTTTCTTTGATCTAGATTTAATGTCGAATATCCAAAATTGTACTCCAGTGACTCAGATCCTCAAAGCAAAAAATTTAATTGTAAATTTAATATATTATTCCAATCATATTGATTAAATTATTGTTTATTTTATTTAGGCATTCAACGTGGACATCAAAATACATTAGAAGTTTATCCTGAATTTCTTCTAATGTTGAGTTTAGGTTCAATAAGATATCCAATTATTGCATCTATCGGTGGTGTTATTTGGTTAATTGGACGAATAGTCTTTTTCCGAGTATGTGACACATATACTGTTCATTTTTGTTTTTTTTTCTTAGAAACTTTTCTTTTTCTTTTATTAGGGTTATTCAACGGGTCAACCTGAAAAACGTCGCTATGGTTCATTTGGTTATTTTGGATTATTTACAATGATGGGCTGTGCTATCAAATCAATCTATGATTTAATTAGAGCTTAAATGTCCGGTTAAAGAAAATTTCTACAGGGATCTGATTCTTCTTTTTTTATTATGTTACTTTTTTTTCATTACAATACTCAACGAGCATTGTTAAAAAAAAGATGTTTCTTCTTTTCTAAATTTTATCTACCCTGAGAATTTTTCTTTTTAAGCTTAGAATTTAGAATAAATTGTCTTAGTTGAATTCTGATTTTTTTTTCCTTTCAACAGATTGTTCAATAAGATCAAATAAAGATGATGAATGATGATTTTCTTTTTGACATATACGAAATGAGATGAACATAAATATTAACAGCGACACAAATATGATATGTCATTATGATTATCTGAAGACGGCACACGTTTCATTTGAAATGAAAAAGAAACGAAAAAAACGTATATGACGAATAGCATCATGTCAGATCAATGTAAAATGTAACGCTTTGATGATCACATTGAGTGTAGACATCTACGAAAACGTTAGAAATCAGACAACAAATGTCAACATGTTTTTTTTTCTAAAAAACAAAAGTCAAGATGAATGGAATGTTTTATGAATTGTAACATTTGTTTTGCTTTGTAAACTTCATAGAATATAATTTAGTGTAAAAAAAAAGTTTTGAGATAAAATGTTCATTCATTTTTCTGTCAATCAAGACGGCCAAATATCTTTTAGGAGTTATGAGCGAATCTATGAAAGGTTTTGAAAATAACGTTTGGAAGAATTTCAAAACGCAAAACAAAGCTCAAAGGATAAAGTAAAATTTATTTTGAATACATCAAAAGAAAGAACAAATATATTTTCATGAAGTAATATACTGATGATTATGTTTTTGTAAGGCGTTTTGCAACAATGAAAGTTTTGATACGAAGTACAAAGACATTTTCGTGATTCTTTCTTTTTTATACTCACAAAATGCACTCGATGATTTCTGCAAAATTGCTTGGACCGCCTCGTTTCATAACGCATTATAAAGAGCAGTCTTCTTCAACTACTGTGCAAAACAGTCGCTATAAAAATATATTGTCAAGCCAAAGGAAATGAGGCACAAACAAAATCGAGATCTTCACACCAAGAAAATGAAATGGCTGAAAACAAACATGAAAATAAGTTCAAGCGATACACAGTGATATTTTTTGTCTATGGATCTTTTAGTTAAAATTTATCTTCGTCCAAATATCATTTTTATGCTTTTCAACAACTTATGCATAACTCCGAAAATATGAGTTTGACTAAATTCTAAATCTAAATCAGGATCGTGGATTTTTCAGAGTAAGTAGGAGAAATGAAACCCATCGTCACCTGACCTACTCCACAACAGATGACCTGCTACCATGCTGTTTCTCGCCCAGCACTATACATCTCGCGATGGACATTCTCTGTTTGTGTTTATTTCACTTTTTGTCAAATAAAGGTATATAATGTTTCAAAATTTGCTTACTGTCCAAAGTTACTATGAAGTTTTAAAAATTGGCACAAACTCGGATATTTTAGGCAGAAGGAGAAAGCATGACCTAGCTTCAGAAGAA